GTCCTAGGTCCAGCGAGGCCAGAATTGGTTCCTTAGCAATCAGACCCAGATCCATATAGGTTGGACCTAGGTCCCTCAAGACCGGGGCCAAATCCAATAGTGTCCCCATCCTGTCTGAGTACTCGGCTCTCGTGCCCAAGTAACCAGCGCTCGGACACAGGTGCAGGTCTTTAAAAGCTGGGCCCATGACCTCGATGCTCATGTCTAAGTCCCAGACGACTGTGCTCTAGACCCCAATGCTTGTGCCTGGGTCCTAGGCGGCCATGCCAAGGTGCTCGACTGAGCCTAGGACTCCGGTGCCCAGGTTCTAGCAGCCATACCCAAGTACCCAGCTGCCACACCCAAGTCACTAACACCTGCGCTAGGTTCCATGGAGACCAGGCCTAACTCCACAGAGGCCAAGCTTGGGTCTATCGAGATCGAGCTAAAATCCACAGGGGTCAGCCCAGGTCCTCGACAACTATTTTCAAATACCTGACTCTCGCACCCGAGTCACCAATACTCCTGCCTAGGTCCATTGAGGTCGAACCCAATTCCTCGAAAGCTGGGCCTAGGTCTTGGAGGCCGACCTCTAGACCTCGATCCTTTGAGCCAAGCTCCAAACCTCAGTCCCCGACAACCGTGCCTGGGCACCCAACTCTCGTTCCCAATCAATCACGTTGGTTCCATAGAGGCCAAGACCTCAATGCCCGTGCTTAAGTTCCTGGCAACTATGCTCAAGACCATAATGCTGGTGCTCAATCCTCGGTGGGTATGCCTGGATACCCAACTCCTGCATCCAAGTCAAGGCTCGGGCCGAGGACCTTAGTGTCTATGCTTGAGCCCCTAGCAGTCATGCTAGAGACCTTGATGCTTGTGTTAAGTCTCCGACTATCGTGCATGGGCACCCAACTCTCCCATCCAAGTTAGTTGGTCCATAAAGGCTAGGCTTAAGACCCCGGTGCTAGTGCCCATGTCCCTGATGGCTATGCCTAAGTACCCATCTCCCACGCCCAATTAACACTAATGTTTGGCCTTGGTTTCTTAATGGTCGGGCCCAAGTTCACAAAAGTTGGGCCCCAGATCCAATTCATGTGCTCGAGTCCCTTGTGGTTAAGCCCGGGTATCCGGCTCCTGCGACCAAGTCACCACCGTCTAAACTAGGTTCTCCAACGCTCGTGCTCAGGTACTGAGTTGCTAGGCACAAGAGACCCTAGCTCTTGTGATCAGGACTCCAACGACTAGGTATCCTTTTATATCAAACAAATAGTGCTTTCATGAGAATAAAATTAATTTTTCGTTTCCGAAAAATGATTTTCAGATTTCAACCAAATAATGGAAAATATTACTATTTTCCTGGAAAATATTACTATTTTCCTGGAGAATATTTTCGAGAACACATCAAATTTCCCACAAAATAACGAAAGCCTTAGATATATAAATAATGAGCGGATGATATTTCATTAGCTCATAGACCAAATAATCTATAAGCTTAAGCCTAGGTGGATGGCTCAACTTTTGCATTATTAGTACTTGAAAAGCAAAGAAACAAATCTCTCTCGTGCGTTTAATATACATGTACATGTTTGTTCCTCAAGTCAGATGCAAGCAGTTATATTGTTTTTATGTTTGATGGGGATTCAATGTGGAATTCAACATAAATGGTTTTCGAAATGACGTAGTTTTAGGAAAGCCATATACAAAGAAAATAAACGGAGATTGATTCTGCTAATTTTGCCCTGAGAGTTTTCCTCATGCTTTGAAAATTTGCTAAATTCCCTAATTTGGCCCTAAAATTTTGGTAAATTTATCAAGGGTTTATCAGCTTGGAAATTTTTGACATAAAAATTAGTTTGATGTAAATACGACACAAATGTATCAATTTAAGATTTTTTTTGACAAAAATTAATTTGATATAAATATAATATGAGTAGGGGTGTACAAAATAACCGGAAACCGTCCGGACCGCCCGGGACCGCTCGGAACCGGACCGGAACCAGGGGTTCCTAAGGGAGCCAGTCCGGTTCCCGGTTCCAAATAATTGGAACCGGTGGGTACCGGTCCGGTTCCAGGTGTGGCACCGTCCACCCGCCCACCCGAACTGAACTGATAATATAATAATAATATATTTATTTATTTTAATTTTAAAAAAAATCCAAATCCCTAAACTACCCATTAAAAATCATTTACAACGAATAGGTTGCACAGAAAGACCTTGAAATTTGCAAAGAGTTTAATGGGTTTAACCTCATTTTCAGTTTCTGGTGAGGGATGAGAAGATCGATCTCAAGATCATGTTCATTTCATAAATCTTGCCTCCTTGAAGTCTTCACGTCGTTTGGTAAGTTCACTCGGTTTGAATCTTAATTGATATCAGCTGACTAGAGTGTTGAAATATGCAAAAGAGTGCAATGGGTTTAACCTCATTTCAATTCTCTGGTGAGGGATTGTGATGCGCAAAATCATTATGTTAGAGCTGCGATGGCCTCCTTTGACTGAAATGCTTAATGCTCAGCCTCTAATCATCCCTGTTAAGAACCTTTGGACATTCATCACTACTCCCCTTCTAACTAGGGATTTTTGCCGACATCGATGAGGCAGAATTGTCCGCCTCAAGAGAAACAATACAAACTACAAGAGTCTTCAGTTTTGGCGTTTGCAAATCTTTATGCGGTCATATTTGGAAAGTTTGAACAACAGGTGAAGGTTTTCACTTTCCGGTCCTTGGCTCTGGCTTGTTAGGAAGTTCCTAACTTGAAGAGCAATGTCTTAACTTGAACACAAGTGAAGTTGTATTTTTGTGTTAACATATTACAATGCTGACGTGTAAAGGTTGGTGGGACCGGTTCCATGAATCCACCCGTGAACCGGACGGTCCGGTCATATTCTCGGGTGAATCCATGGAACCAACGAGCGATTCCTGGTTCCAATTTTTCAAAACTGGTCCTTAACGGGCGATTCGTGGTTCTAGGGTGGGAATCGCCCACCCGGACCGTGCTCATCCCTAAATATGAGTATACCGATTTGGAATTACTTGTGATATTGACCATTTATAAAAGGATCACGTTTTTTTTTTGTCAACCACGATAAGAGAAACGTTGGTCCCTCTGCGTCGAGTACATTCTACAAAAATTTTACAATGGCGGTGAGGGAGGGGGGCGAGGACTAGGAGCAAATGCCGTGTGGCGTTCTTTAGCAATATAGCCAACCAATGTTCTTAATCCATAATCTGTTCGCAGGCGAGGACCGGACAGAAACACTATCTCCTCGAACGGATACGGAGATTGCAGACTCCTTGTTTCGTATACATCGACCTGGTGGTATCTCTCCGGGAACTCAATAGTCGGAATAACTTTTTTTCCGGAATAAAAACAGTCGATCAATTTATACATCTAATAACATCGTAAAATGATGTTCTCAGAAATGGCTTGGAGCAAATAAAGCAACAGTACCATGGTAAACGCACTTCTAGCATCAATTCCAGACACAATGGAACGATTCCACCCACCCTTTTGTATTGAACTACTTAAAAATGATCTCTCTATCCTGCATTTAAGTTTCAAAATACGACGGACTGAAATTCAGTCAAGCATGCAATCAAAACAATATTTCTGTGGGATTAGCATTTGAGTCAGTTTAAGCCGGAATCGAAGTTCATAGTACTAATGTCAATAACCCAATCTGAATTGGGTTTTTGATTTGCAAACTCCAGACTCCAAGAGTTTATCACCCTCTGTCACGACCCACCATGCCACCATCACATGATGAAATGGTTGAAACATGAGAAAAACCGGCGTCGGTCTAAAGATATTGTTCACATGATAACGCTAAAAACTCAAGGCATACTTTGACACCACAATATGTATTCACTTCTTAGCTCCTTTCATGAAAAACAAATGTTATCAAAAATATTTTCTTAAAAGTAATCGCTCATCGCACTTCAAATAATTAGTCTATCAAAAATGTTTCATTACCAACAACAATTTATATCTAAACATTTTAATAAATAATAAACTTTTTTTCATTCATTCATTTCAGTTCTGTAAGCAATACAAACGATCATTTTTAAACAAATATTTTCTCAATCATTCATTTTCCGCAAAACAAACACACCCCAATCATTACTCATTTCACAGTAATACAAAAAGTTCTTGAATGAACCCCAACATTCAGTGGCATGTTTGACAGGGAGTTCAAAGTGATTTTCAATTCAAACTCAAAGATTCAAGATCAAATCATCCCAGTCAGATGGAGATGAAAATCTAGTAATGATTTGTCTCACTTTCCTTACTGGCAAGAGTCCAAAAGTGTCACAACTCATCTCGGGAAGAACGAAAACAAGAAATTTTTTACCCCTAACAGGAATAAACTTGAGCTAAAAGTACATAGTAGCACAGTCAAACAACAAAAAAGAGCGCAAACAAAGCCTAATTCAGCCAGCAAAACCTAATGCCAACAATATAATGATGGTCATTCCCACAGCCGCAAACATGATGCATCTGCCGATAAAACAATGTCTGAAAACTCGTTCTCAAGATATTGAATAGGAATACTAGGCCAAGGACTAAATGACTGCATAGACAAATATGGGGATTTCACAATTATTAAAGAGATCAGTCATGATTGGTCAGGTTTGTAAATTGGATGGCAAGTTTTCTGTCAAATGTCATATAATTGCAGGACTCGATCAGAATCAAGGGGTTCAAAACTGTAAACTCCCAACTTGGTCAGATTTGATTTCCTTAACAGAATGTGTATCATCCTCTCAAGAAGCTTATGATGTCGGCCACAGGGCAGTGGCCTAAGGGTTACGAATCCCTTAGGACAAAGGGGGAGGAAGGAAATTCAACAACCCCATCTTAGGGAAGGTTGGGGGTAGGGACGAAAAACTGCCTAACAAAACGAAGGATGCTACGACCCTACGATGTCTCGACACAAGATCTCCTTTAAAGGGAACAGGTAGGGGGACATTCGCTAAGCATCTGTTTAAAGCAATGACAAAATGCAGATATCCGGCAACAGACAACAAATTATTTAGTAGCTATACCAACTTAAGGCAAATTCACAAATTGCGCACGAGACAACCCACTAAATTTGAAGGAATCCAAGCCAGATCCAAAAACTAGTACAGATATTCAAAAGGTTAAGCAACCTTGATCAGAGCAAGTAAAAGCTGAAAATAGGAGTAATTGCTCAATAGCCACCATCTCCGCCCGCTCTGCCACCATACCCGCTGCCACCGCCAAAACCTCGGTTGCCACTGGGTCTCTCAGTTGCATAGCTTACACGGATACTCCGTCCATGAAGCTCCTGAAAAGACTCACATGTGAGAAATCACAATGATTACGTGACAGAGATGTTACATATTTTCTAAGAACAATGCTCACCTGACCGTCCATGGCTGACAATGCTGAGCTGGCAGATTCATCGCTGGAGAAATTGACAAATCCAAAACCCCTAGATCTTCCTGAATCTCTGTCTGTTATTACCCTGGCTGCAAACCATGATAACAAATGAAAGATGACAAAATTACCACAAAATATCTTTGAGAAGTAGCAACTCAATCAATCTAATTTAAAATAAAATAAGCAAATCTGAAGATCTGAAGTTCAGAGAGAAGAGGGGGACGAGAGGGTGCAGGGGAAATAGTCGGTAACAAATAACAAAATCTATTGATCAAGTGCGCCATCTCTAGATCACTGCTATCGAGTTTCACAATGTAATTTCTCCTTTTAAGGACACAGGGTTCCGGCTGTATAATCACTTTGTGCTCGTTTTTTTCTTACAAGGAGACAATGTTCTCAATGTAGGGACCAAAGTGGGTGGCAGGGAAACCAAGTCAGCAAAAGAAAGCCCATTAGAATTTATTATGCAGCAGATATTGTTGCATTGCTGGGCAGAAGTACACAGCATAAATTATATGTTAAGAAAATAAATGACCATACCAAGACAAAAAAACGAGAGCCATTGACAGTTAAACTCACCTTCAACCACCTCACCAAAGCTCGAGAACGCATCCTTAAGAGAGTGGTCATCTGTTCCATAAGAAAGACCTGAGGCATGGAATAGCATATAAGGGACACGATAGCACAAATCTCATTTACATCCAAAGTATTTTGTAATCTACATTGAACAGTACCTCCTATAAAAAGTTTACTTGAGGTCGCCATGCATCGGATAGAGTTCAGCATAGAAGCAGGCCCATTTTGGGAAATACTCTGCTTCAAAAGATTTCCAACCTTGTTGCAGAAAGCCATTGTCGATTGTCTAATGAACCAGCTGCTCCAAGAGGCTGCATCAACATAGAATCATAAGATCCACCAAGTCAAATGCTTTATTCCACAATGGATGTCACTCTCATAATAATTACAAATGAGGAAATGGGCCCCTCGACACAACTGACCGCTCCCAAAAGAAAATGATGACACAACAAGTACAGAAATCAACAGAAGGTGCTCGACCTCCTCAAGACAAGAACCAAGAACAGGAAACCCACGACCATCTACATAACAAAAAAAAAAAACAATACGTACAAATGGAACGAATATATCCACCTTCAGCATATACAGACTGTGCCCAGAGGAAGAACATAAAGTACGACACCCACCAAACATCTAGAATTTGTTTCTCAGATCATCACTTGGCTGCTAAACCAGAAACCCGCCATTTTTATCCTCCAAGAGCACGGCCAAGAAGCACCCAACAGAGCCAACAAAGATAAAACCAAGTTCTCTTAAGTTACAGAAACAACATCAGAGCGCACTCTCACCAAATACCCTCCAACTCCATTGCTAGCTAAAGCAAAATAGCCAGGTTTCTTGCACCTCAGCATGCGCACATCTCATGCAACGTCCAATCAAAACACGGGAACCCCCCCTCCCCTCAAATCACCCAACAAAGAAAACACCAAGCAACAAGCGTACCCACGCAGCACAGAACAAACCCAACAAACAAAGGAACACTCAAACACCAGACTCTCCCGAGACCATTTCGAATGCAAAGACCACCTGCGCACGCGACAGACAGCTCTCGGCATTCAAGAACGGAAGAGGAGGAAGCAGAAAGCGAAATCAGGGTCGAGAGAGAGACGGCGACTTCACCTGAGAGAGGGTTTAGGGTTTTAGCGAGGAACGCAGGAGAGCGCGCGGCTGAGCGATTGCAGGGTTTACCGCTCAGTTCGCCGCTCAATTTATACTCCCCTCGCACTGCTCCCCAAAGTATCTTCGAGCTCTCGGGGCTTTGATTTTCATTTCTTTTTTCCATAAATGGTCCCCGAATTTTTATTAAACATGCAATGTAATTCTTAAATTTTCAATTTGCTCAATATGATTCTTGAATTTTTGGTTCATTCTGAACGTGTACCAAAAAATCAAGGACTATATTGAATGAATTAAGTTTCAGGGACCATACTACATATTATGTTAAAGTTCATGAATCACATTGAATAAATTAAAAGTTTAGGGACCACATTACAAATTAGGCTTAAGATCAATGATTATTTGTGCACAAAGTTCAGGGATTATTTGAATTTTAACTCAATGTAAAATGTGATTCATGAATTTTTTATATATATTTGATATAATTTTTATGATTATATTAAATAAATTAAAAATTTAAAAATCACATTAATGAGTTAAAATTCATGAATCACGTTGAATAAATTAAAAGTTCAGGATCTTCGGTCAAAGTTATTATTTATGTGGTTTGGTTATCCCTTTTGGATAAAAGAGAAAGAGGGTTTTGCTGCGTGAGGTCGAGCCTACCAAAACGGGAACTGTGGACGCCGTAGGCGCCGGGGCCCGTTCCTTACATTCTGACACGTGGGCTTCTTCTGTTTGCTCTGTATTTTTGCGTTGTGCGTGTGCAGAGATTGTTGCTAGTAGGCGATCATTTCCCTCCTAACCTCGGGATTTATTTAATTATTTTTTTAATTACCGTTTTTTGCGGTTGAGAGCGAGCCCAACCAAAACTGCTCGGGCCTGAAGTACAAATTGAGTGGTAGGGTTAACAATTCACTTCTTGGACCCCCGCTAAACTAAAATTAGGCCCAAAACGTTCTTATAAAACATCGTAAATATTTAAACATTTAAATTTTAGGGCAAATACTTTAAAAACCTCAAACTATATCCATTGTGACACGAATGCCTCTAAATTTTACTATACCCATTGTGACGTGAATGCCTCAAAAAAAATTTATGTCACCAAAATCCTAAACTCGCCCATTGTGATTAGGGGTGCGCAAAAGGAACTGCCCGGAACGACCGATTTTGGGCGATTCCCAAGGGTACCAGCTCTGTACATGGTTCCATAAAATTGGAATTTGTGAATTGCGGTCTAGTTGTCAATTCTAGATGTAGAACCGCTCACCTGGAGCACCCAAATCATATCTATTTTTTTATATTTTTTATTTCTTAAAAATTGTAAAAAAAAAACTCTAATTTATCTTCCATTTCACAAAGGAAGGCCCTTTAAGGCTGGAGCGGCTGCATTTACTTATGGATCTGAGTAAAATGACGAGAACAAATCAAAACACAATAGCAGTTGCTTAGGGCCTGTTTGGTAACGTGCCAAGTAGTGAAAATTTATGTTCTTTTATTTTCAGAATCAGTTTGGGAACAGAAATCCGTTGTTAAATTTTTTGTGCCCGGGCACACTTTTGCAAAAAATTGTTCCCAAAATCAGTTTTGGAACATAATTAAGAAGCAAAAAAAAGTAGCTTCTTGATTCTGGAACAATTTGTCCATTTTTTATTCTTCTTGATTTTCTTCTTTTTTTTGGTTTGTTGTTGTTCTTCGGCCTACCACCTAACGCCCGCCACCCGCAGGCCATCGTTGCTTGCCGGCAACAGGCCATAGGCTAAGGCCAGCGATGCCCTCACCGGCCCTCGCCGGCCACCGGCAAGGGCGGCTCGCGGCCGCGACAGCAAGGCCTTACCCAGCCAAGGCGAGGTCGACCTCACCGTCGCCACCCAGGTCCGTCGCCTGGGTGGCGACGGCGAGGGCGGCGGCGAGGGCGGCAGCGAGGGCCACGACGCCCTCGCTGGCCCTGGCCTGTGGCCGGTCGTCGGTGCTGGCGACCGGCCATGGCCAAGGAAAGGAAGGGAAAGAAAAAAAAAAGAAAAAGAAAAAAGAAAGAAATATTAAAAAAATCAAAAAATATTATTAAATATTATTAATAAAATGAAATTTTGTGTAGTTACCAAACGCATTTCTGTTTTTTTTCTATTCTAAGAATAGAAATTTTGGGCAGTTATCAAATGCCTTCAAATGCTTAGAAATTATTTCTGGGCACAGAATAAAAAAGAATCATTTATGAGCAGAATCTATTCCCGGGCATAGAATAGCTGCCATGCGCAGCCTTATTCTAACCAAATTTTGCCATAAATGGAAAACTCTTTGTGAAACCTACATTATTACATGTAACTCCCTAATTGTGAAAATGCATATATTGTCAAGAACATCTTGAATTTTATCTTGAACATTAATAACAAATAAAAAAAACTGAATATTGTCACTAGTTCCATTGGCCCACTAATCAATTTCCAGGTGCTAACCGGACCGCTCAGGAACCGATCGCCCCTAATTGCGACACAAATATCCTTAACTTTTTTGTGTCACGAAACAACCCAAACTTATACATATATGACGTATATACTCTCTATTTTAGTTCCATCCGGAGTATTGTCACGGTATAAGTTCGGGGTTTTTATAATACAAAAAAAGTTTGGGGTAGTTGTGTCACAATGAGTAAGTTTATAATTTTTAGTGACACGAAAAAAACTTCAAATGTGTTATAGTAGGCATAGTTTAGGACTTTTTGTTGTATTAATCCTAACTTTTAATACGGCCTTCCATCGCAATGCAGTTCAAAATGCCGTGAAAAATTTCATTACTTCCATTTTTAATCCTCTCTAATGATTTACAAAAGTGTTACCGGCTTCGTCCTATTTTGTTATATTTAACAAAGGTTTATGACGCTGATAACCCAATAGAGAACATTTAGCTTTGCTAACTTGCTAACGGACCAAACCAGTTAGCTTAAGTGAAATTGTGATTTTGCTTGAAGAATTATTTTTGTCAATATAATGTAGTTAATTATCTTGTTCATATCTTGATCCGACACTGCACAGGGCTTTGCTGCGGTATTAAGACTCCGTTTGTTTCGAGAAAAATATTTTATAGGAAATTATTTTCCTTATTATCCAACGTTTGGTTCGCTTAGAAAAATTCGTCAACAAAAAACTTATGTTTAAATTCAGGAAAATAATTTCTTTTTTGAAAAATCGGAAAATATTTTTCGAAATATAACTAGGTATCGATGTTTGGATCCGAAACTCTACGCTTGAGCACGGAAACCCAATATTAATTCCTAGGTTCCTTGCATTCATGATCTGGTCTCCAGCACCCAGGTTCGGGTCCATCAAGGCTAGGCCCCTGGTGCCCATCTCGAGTCCTTCTAGGCCGGGCCTGAAGGCCTGGTGCCCATGCTCGACACCCCGGCACCCAAGCTCGAGTGCATAAAGGCCGTGTTTGGGTCCCTGATGCTCGAGCTCTAGTCCCTGGCACTCAGGCCCAGGTCAACGAAGGCTGTACTTGGGTCCTTGATGCTCAGCTCGAGTCTTTAGTTACTGAAACATTCGTTCTAGTGAAAATATTTTTAAAAAAATCGAATTTTTAATTTTTTTTCTCTTCTTTCTTTCTTTTTCTTTTTGCTTTATCCTCGACCAGTCGTCGGCCACGACGGTGACTCGTTGAATTCGCCGCAATCTGGCGAGGTCGAGCCTTGCTAGTCTGGGGCGAGCTCGTCCCTCACCGGTGGCCAGTGACATGCCGAGAGAGAAGGAAAAAGAAAAATAAAAAAGAAAGAAAATAAAACAAATTTTAAATTTTAAAAAAATTAATATTAATTAAAAAAATATTGATTTTTTTTGGTAATTTTCACTAACAACATCAAATTAAATTTTCCATATCAAACAACGAAAAATATTTTCTAATTTATTTTCAGGTTTAAGCCAAATATTAGAAAATAGTGCCATACTTCATGGAAAACATCTTTCAAAAATGTCACATTTTTCGTGAAATAAACGGAGCTTAATAGTCAATTTTTGTCACCATTTCGGCTATTTCTCTGTCTACTATTGCTAATGTGTAGTTAATTCAATGCCTTTCAATTCGTTACATTTTCCTCAAATGGAAAACCTATGTATGCCGATTCAAATGGATTATCCTACATTCTTATAAAATTTACTTTGCTTTTTTTGACGCGAAACAAATGGTAAAATCATCGCTCTTCTTGATGAGTATGGACAAATGCACACCGAGAATGATTGAACCTCTTTTACCCGGACTTTCCTCGAATGCGAATACACATGACCCTACACTCTTTAGAAAGCTAAACTCTATCCAAAACATTCAAAGACTCAAGATTTGATTTTCCTTTTTGGACATTAAACAAATGGTAGGATCATCGCTCCTTTGGATGAGGATTGACGAATACACCTCAAGAAGGATTGAACTCCTCATACCTAATGAACTTTTATCGAAGCGAATGCACATACTCCAGTTCGTATAAATGACCTTGCACTTAAGAGCTAAATTCTATCCAAAACATTCAAAGGCTCGAGATTTGATTTTCCTTTTCCGACGTGATACCAATGATAAAATCATCACTCATTTAGATGAGGATTGACAAATACACAAGGATCGAACTCCTTCTACTTGATGAACTTTCCTCATATGTCGGATACACATACTCTAATTCATACGAATGACCTTGCAGTCTTAAGAGAGTTAAACTCTATCCAAAATATTAAAAGGCTCAAGATTCAATTTTGCCTTTTTTCGACGTGAAACCAATGATAAAATCATCACTCATTTGGATGAGGATTGACAAATACAAACCAAGAAGGGTCCAATATCTTTTACTTTATGAGCTTTTTCCTCGAATGGCTGTACACATACTATGATTTATACCAATAACCTTGCACTCTTAAAAGAGCTAAACTCCATCCAAAACATAAAGGCTTGAGATTCAATTTTCCTTTTTGGACATGAAACCAATGGTAAAATCATCATTCATTTGGATGAGGATTGACAAATAGAAGGACTTAATAAACTTTCCTCGAATGCCGAATACACATACTATAATTCATACCAATGACCTTGCACTCTTAAGAGAGCTAAACTCTATCCAAAATATTCAAAGGCTTGAGATTCAATTTTCCTTTTTCGACATGAAATTAATGATAAAATCATCACTCATTTGGATGAGGATTGACAAATACACACCAAGAAGGATCCAACTCCTTTTACTTGATGAACTTTCCCCGGATGGCGAATGTACATACTCTGATTCATATGATAACCTTGCATTCTCAAGAGAGCTAAATTCTATCTAAAACATTCAAAGACTCGAGATTTAACTTTCCTTTTTCGACGTGAAACCAACTATAAAATCATCACTCACTTGGATGAGGATCGACAAATATAAACCAAAAAGGACCAAACTTCTTTTACTTGATGGACTTTCCTCGAATGGCAAATACACATACTCTGATTCAAAACAGTCAGAGACTCGAGATTTAATTTCCCCTTTTCGAGACGAAATACATAGTATGATAATCGCTTCGGTCGAGCGACAATTGTCAGGCACACCGAGAAAGGGAATAAAAATCTACGAATTCAAATTCAATAGAGCGTGTTCTTAAATGCACCACCATGATCAGCACACATGGTAAGATCAAAAAGAGAAAGATCTGCAAAACTCAATCCAACCCAATTTGGGAAAATCCATCATGCAAATGGACAAGATTTGAAGGGGCTGCGGGTAGGGGGGTTGTGTGTGATCTGATGCCACGTGTACGGACGGATATGGGGAGCGATGGGCTGGGGTGGCGCCACCTGGAGATGCACCACTAGTGGGGGAAAATACCAACCCACATGCGGGCTTTTAGGCAAATGGCTTCTCACTGTGAAACTCCTTCCCTTTGTATTGGGGAGGGGGGGAGAAAAATACCTCACTCGCACTCGTAGAGCGTGGCCTTCACTCTCTCTATTTGCTAGTCAATTAGTTTATCCCCATTTTTTAGAATTAAGTCTAATTGAAAAAAAAAGCATCTTTTCTCCATTTTTCCCGTCAAAATATGGAAAGACTATATAAATTTCGAAAACTTATAAATAGATATATGTGAATCTACTGATTAGCATTTTTATGTCGTGAAATTTTGAAGTGCTTTGGATGGAAAAAAGAGAGTCAAAGTTGGTTTATCGTGAAATTTAGACCAAATAAAAAAATGAACAGCGCGTGAAATATTTCAAGCAAAGTTAAGTACCCGTATAAATTTAGCTCGATACGAGTAGTCTGAGCTATGTTGTGTAATTTTTAGACTTTAAATCATGAGTAAAATTAAGTATCGCTAAACATTATTTGAACAATTTGATTACAACAAGTTCTTTTGAGATAAAAGATGAAAGTCCCGATTAGTTCTCAATGAGGCGGGAAAAAAAGTTTCCAATAAAAGTACGCCGCACTTTGCTATCGTAGAAGGAAAGAGAATGCGGCTAAATGACTCGAGACTTTTTCATAAACTATCGTAAGTATCAACACGGTGACATCGTATCGCCCGCCTTTAGTTAACTCTGGATTTAGTATCTCGTTAACAAGTGACATTATGACATCGGTTAAGTCATAACGCATTCATTCATTAAAAGAGCCGGACGCAATTTATGGCTTCTCCTTCTTCTCCACAGTCATCGGGCATTACCGTCGCCGCCACACCCGGCGAGGAAAACAAGAAAGTTTCTATTTTCCGCAGAAGCGGAAACAAAAAAGGGGAAGCGCCTGTCTAAAACAGACAATCGAAAATCCAGCCTCCCGACGGGACAGTGCCGTTTCCGTTTCCAACCACCGGCTAGGAAAAAGACCCATCTCCCGAAATTCCATTTTTTTTCCCCCACTATTGCCGCAAAGACACTAAAACGGAACTCTCTACACTCACCCTCCTCACGACAAGGTTATACAAGATAACGAACGCTGCCCTCATTCATGCCAATGTTCTTGTTGTTTTTTCCATGCACTAAAAGAAGATGATGGAGGAGGAGGAGGAGGAGGAGGAGGAGGAGATCATGGTCAAAGCTCAAAGGCACGGGAACCTCAAAAAGACTCGATGCCCGACAGCATGAGGAGCATGGCATACACATTGCGAGTAAAGGGGAAGAAGAAGAAAGAAGCAGCAAACGACGGCGTCAGTAGTGTGTGCGCGCGCGAGAGAGAGAGAGAGAGAGAGAGAGAGAGAGCGTAGACTCGATTCGTTGTGGGGAGAGACAACACTGAACGCCCACAACGAGGAGGTCTCTCCAGTCACATATTTATATGCTCTCTCCTTCTCTCTCTCTCTCCTCCCTTCCTCTTCCTTCGCTTCGCGTCTCGCATTCATTCCTTCGCGTGTAACTTCCGAACTCCGCCCCCCCACCCCGCGCACACACACCCCGCCCACATAAAAACTCCCCTCCTCCTTCCCTCGCTGAACCCATTTGCAGAGGAGCGAGAGACGCCGCCGGCGCCGCCGCGTGGGAGAGAGAGTTCTCGACCGGCCGGAGACGACGCCGACGCCGCCGCCGCCGGGGAAGGAGAGAATAAAAGAACGAGAAACGCACACACTGACTTAAAAAGCTCTCTGTATATACTATCCCCCGCCCCCTACCTTTTCCTGGGTTCCTCTTCTTTTGTCCCCTTTCCTTCCTTTCAATCGCGCTCGCCGTCGCTTTGCTCGGATTCCGGAGAGATCTTCTTGTCCCTCCACTGCCGCAATCACTGTGCAGTGGGGAGCGAGGTACTGACCTGAACCCCAACCCCCATCATCGAATTCCGCTCCGTTTCCCACCACCCCTCCCCCCCGCCGCCGCGAATTTGCTCCGATTCGAGCTCCCCCCCCTCCTTTGGGCTGCTTCTGATCGGTGCGATTCTCCGAAAGGAGGGGACGATAACAAGGATTACAGAATGAACAATACAATCCGGCTTTTGCCGCTTTCTTCATTGATAGCGAATTGGGCCAAAACGTTAAGCAAAAAACCAAAAGACCTCTCTTTTTTTTTTTTTTTTTTGGTCTGGGTGATTTGGGTTGCGATGGGTTTGGTTTTTCAGTGTTCCTTCGGGTGCTCAGTGAGATGTTTTTTGCTGCGTGTTGCTAGGGTTTGCGGATCCTCAGCGGAATCTCCATCGGTCGGAAGTTCTCCCGGGCGGCGAGTTAGGGTTTTGATCACGGGGGGCGGATTGAAAGAAGACGTAGTGCCGTAATCGCACCTGCGACGAAATGGGTGCCATCTCCTCCTTTATCCGCAGCAATTGGCATTACGAGCTGGACGGCACTGTGGAGGGGTCGCTCCGAACTTGAGGTTTGCTTTGAGTTGGTGATTGACGGGCATTGGGTTTTGATGGGAATGGAAGAGGATTGCACCTACAGAATGGCGTAGGCGGTGGAAGAAGCAGCTCAAGAATTCAACTTTTTTGGTTCCTTCTTTTTGGGGGAAAATTAGGGTTTTTGGCGTTTTCCCCTTTTCCAGAGCTTTGATCCCCCCACCGGTGGATTACTTTGTTCTGGTGACCAGGGGGAGAGGGGCAATTCCTTTTTCAGGAGATCGGGTCTCGTCCGCGAGCCTCATCGGATCTCGTGAGGCCGTTTGTAACTTATATTTGAAGAATATTCCGGAGGTAATTCCATAAGTGAACCCTCGTGCCAGTGTTTTCACCTGACAAGCCGGGGTATCAGCCTTCGATTTCGAACTGGGTCGGGGTCTAATCTGCTCAAATTGGTTACTTCCGGGGTGACAGGAGAACTCATATTGCCCGGTTGTTCATACCTGTGGCTGCTGGAGTGTCTGAGAAGCTCATGGGGAAGAATTGACTTCACATTGCAAGGATATGGTCCATGAAAGAGCATCACCACCAGCTCATTCCCTGGGCCGGCTTTACTAGAAAGTAAATCCCAAGCTTCTTGTTTCCGGAATAGCTGGCATTTTGTGCCTTCGGGTATTGCGCAATGTCTCGCTGCTTTCCGTTTCCTCCGCCAGGCTACGAAAGGAAGGCTAGAGCAGATGATATTGACTTACTAAAGAAGGTTAATATGTTCTCTTTTTAGTTGGTCGCGTTTCATATTTGGCATAGCATGCGTGCTGGTTATGTAGCTGGGTTCCTCTTGCCGTGCTTTGCGCTTGTATATCTTTAACTTGGAAAAACTAGCTAGAGCGTCTGAATTTTCTTGCTGCCGTTGATTCTAAGTCAACAAGCAAATGGCTTTCGATTGTGATGGTCGCATGGAATTCGGAAATACTATGCCAACAAGAGCTCGTACTCTCAAACTCTATGTTTGTCTATAGGAAAAAGTAAGGTGGTCTTGCTTATCGAGGAGAGGAGATGATGGGAGTATTTGAATTTGGGATGCTTGGATTAGTCAAGAGGGCTTCCATTTGTTGCCACTTTATATAGGTTGATGGGTAGGTTCAAGTCATTCATCACTTGGTCTGGTCACCTGATCACCTTTTTTTCCCAGGGTGCGAGACTCTTCTTTAGTTGCTATGAGATTGTAGTTTCGCCTTTTCTTAAGTAAGATGCATAGCTCTTACTAAGTGATGATTTGCAGTACTATATGCCTAATTGACTAAGCTAGCATTGCCTTAAAAGATGAATTTTCTGTTGATGCTTGTAAAGAAATTTAACCGGTTGAGATCAGAAAAGACCCTTTCTATTTACGCTTGCCTATCCGTTATATTATTGCGATCAACCCAGTATGCATCCGTAGAGACGTCACTCACTGTGAATTCCAAGAATTCAGTTTCAAAACTCATATGAAAGGATATGATAGATTAATTCTAGTTGATCTGATGGCTATGTGCTGTATGCTAAAAACGTAACGGCTGATAGAGGAGGAGGATCCAGATTAAACTTACATGACGTGCGGATATGGTCAATAAGTTAAACACATTTCATATTGTGTAATCGTCAAGGTCCCATATGCTAGAAGTTTTGTTTTCTAGTTTATCAGGATAGGATATGGCGCTTGAATTTGCTGAAATGTTAATATCAACTTAATATTAATCTCTTGGAGCGCAGCTAGTATGTTATGTATCATATTAGAGAACTCTGCCCATTGCCAAAGGAACATTAGCATTCAATAAGTAGAACCGTCTAAGGTTGTTAAGAGCTGGTAGGTTCAGTTATGTCCTCCTTTAGAAGAATGTGGGAAATCTTCCTTGTACGAGGTCCTACTTTTGCATAATAACTTCGCATCCAGTTCAAGTGGATGGCTCATTTGTCATTGCATGTCAGTGCAAATAGAAAGAAACTGAGGCAAGCTGGATTTTTCGGGGGTTGAATACAGTTATTCTTAGGGAAATTGATTTTGGATTTGCTTTGTCACACCTCATTTTTTCCTTTTCCATATTGCCTACTTATGGATTCTGCTGGGGCGAAAAGTAGTTATTTATATGAATATAGAAAGAGTTAGGAGGACAAATGGGGATTTTGGAAAATTGGATTTCAGACTTCTTTTTTAAGCAAGTGGTATAGTGATTGGTTGAGTTACCCCTTAGGGGCATTAAGGCCATTATGGATCCCTAGACTTACTAAAGGTAATTAGGTTTTAAAATAGGACTGAATATGGAGTTAGCAATCTTTACTGCACCATATACCGCAGCTCTCCTTATTGATGACCTTAAAGTACAAGAGAGTTAATCAGATTTTATATGTAGAATTTTGCGTCATTTTGCTAAAATGCTTGCTCAGTTTTCATTTGATTGCATTGAAATTTCTACGAACATTATATCTGTCCATTCTTTGTTGTTAAACAGGGATAACTAATTCTTTTACTGCTGAAACTTATGTTTGAGTTGATGACAAAGCGATATGGGCATGATAGTGTCAAGTATTTTGAATCACTGTCTATTTGTTAGAGAAAACATAGCAGCACAAGATTCACAGAGCTGATTTCTCATCGTAAAAACACGAAGATCAATATAGCTGATTCTACCGGGGCGGTATGTGCACAGGCAGTTTCACGAGTTTAGTAAAGACCAAGTGATCTAGGTGGTTATCGCTCAGATATATGATCTGCCTGACTGCGCCGAGAAATTCATTTCTGCATGAGGCTCAATTTTTGCAATCTTAAAGGAGGCGAATTTTTGTCGTTCATGTATTGCTCCTTATTTGGATTGAGCCTTTTGGGGGTTTGATTGGCATGACTGGTTGATAGCATTAATTTGTTGCAAATACCATGCTTATAGATTTTTTTTTGGCTTGGCCAATTATAGTTTTGTAATTAGCTATGCTACGAAGTCTAGTGCTCCCCTGTTTATTCATTTCTATACTTATGTTAGAACTTATGCATAAATGGCGAAAGTTTATTTCTTAGGTCAATGTCCATTAGCCGTAGGGACAGGGAGGCGTTTTGTAATTGCCCTGCATCTTGTTCTTGCCAATTATCGTTATGTGATCTTTTGTTACGGCAGGAGTGGACTTGACTCAGAATGTTTAGTTTGTCTCAACGAAGCATCAACCCGATTGTCTACTTTTCTATTGTTTTTGTTGAATGTGGTACGATTTATTGCTCTTTGTGAGCCGTCATTCTTGAATATGATTGTTTGTCTTGATTGGCGTATTTTTCATTTTGACATGGAGACGACTAGTGTGCTGCGGTTTTCTTGATACGAACTCTCCTTTAGGATTTTGGCCTAAAACTTTTGATGCTTTCTCCTTTCGGTTTTCGCAGCATTGTTTGCTGCCCTTAAGCTGTTACCTTCTACGAAATGTGTTTTGTGCTTACCAAAAACAATAGCACCTAACCTCTGTCTCAATTGCCGAGTCTTTTTATTGCTAACTGTTTTATGAAAGTGCTTTTTTGGCATTGCCTCGCGATATCTAATACTATCTTAGTCATAATTACCATAAAAGTTATATGACAATGCATTGCCAATACAAACACCTACTATTGGTATGAGAATAATGTAAGGGTGGGGCTTACTCTAGACTTGACTGGACTACCAAAATAGGGCTGTCATTTTTGGGTATCTAGCAAGAAAAGAAGGCTATAAATCAGGTTGTGCTGAACTCTTGGCACCACTGGGGTCAGCAATTTGGGCATTCATAAGTTTCGTCATACTGTAGCCAAGCAGAGTTTTTCAAATTCTCCTGCTCTCTGATTCGTAAGAGACTTTTCCTAGCATGGTAAGACTGATTCTGATAGATCCATGTAATTTCTGTACTGATAGTTTTGTTGTATTTATTTCCCTTGTGATCCGTTGGGAAATTAGAACGCTGTTCATTTCAGTAGAGAGAATGCCCTGATTGAAAAAGAAAAATTCATTAATTGTGTGCTTGGTGTGCAGAGGTTTTTAGCTCTAATCATATGGACAGCTTTGTATTGGGTTTAACTTTCCATAGATGAAGTATTTAATTCGTGTCCACTTGGATCTACTGTATCCATTTATCCTGAGGTTTCAGGTTATTTTTGTATGACCATTAATCAGTGGATCTATGGCTACCATCGACTAAAATTTTTTGTGAGTTTTGCTCATGCGCTTATACATCTAAGACATTAGGAGATGATTCTTCTGCTTTCCACCGTTATCTTTCGCTGATGAGTACTTTCAACAGACTTCCGTCTCATTTCCCAGAATTTTCTCTGGTAGCGCTGTTGTTTCATTCGATATTTTATTTGGGCTTTCTAGCCTGTCTCGCAGAATCTGGTTGGGCTTTTGTTGCGGTGGACATTTATTTTAATGTTGCAAGTCTGTACTTAATTTTCTAGAATTGGAATTGTAGGTACAATTGTAGGTACAATTCATTGGCAGTGTTTATGTTGACCGGCTTTCCTTATCTGCATCTAAAAGCCAATCTTGTGCATCGGCGCAGAATAAGTATCGTGATGACCCGACTATTGTTTATTAATGGTTCTTCATTATTAGTCGAGAAAAAAGGAAATGCTTCTTCTTGACTCCATCTGATATTATGTCAGTACACCTATCTGTTAGATCGTGAGGATTTTTGAGATGCTTCTGTCAGCTGAAAAGGCATGCTTATCACCAAAAGATATCGAGCTGTTATTGAAGATAGCCTCTGCAATTTTATCTTGGCATTGTTTTTTAAAGGTGTTGATTTTGTTATGTCGAATGATGGGCGTGATTGGTATACTGTTTATATGTTGTTTATTGTTATTCAGCTGATTATGTCTCCCTGTACTCTCAATCTAGTACAACCTAAGGTTTTTTGTGGTTGTTTTGGTTTGTGAAATTGTGCCCGATCTTCCTTGCAACTTTGGATGCGGCCAATGGCAGATGTTTTAGCATCTGTATAGGATGATAAAACTTATCATTGCTCGCATGATGTGTCATCCTTGATTGTATTTAGTGTCAACAGTTTTCATTTTTTGTCTATATACTGTTCTTTAATACCATGCATGTGGATATGTTTAATGGGAGTAGTGGATGTTTCTTATCTATGTTAGTTGGGGCGAGGCCCTTAGTTTACACCTTTACTGGTCCGTCCATTGATGTTCACTCTAGCCGGGTGTTTTGCCATTATATGTAGGAGAAGCATCGAGAGAAGAAGCGTAAGAAGGAGAAGAAAGACAGAGAGAAGCGGGAGGATAAAGAGAAAAAGGAGAAAGATCGAAGTGAAGGGAAGCATAGGGACAAGAAAGACAAAAAGGAAAGGCACAAAGACAAAAAGAAGGATAAGGAGGAGAGGGAAAGAGATAAAGAGAAAAATGGTGCCGCAGATGAGAGGAGGCTATCAGGACAGGCTGATGGTAACAACAAGGAGAAAAATACCGACAAGGATAGACTATCTTGGCACTCTGGAGGGCCCTCAGGCGAGAAAACAATTCAGGACGCTGAGAAAGATAAGAATAAAAATCATACTTTACATGATAAAGGAGCTGCAGCGCAACTTGCATCTTTTAGTGCAGAGAAGATAACTCAGAAGAATCAGAACAGCCATTTCGTTGGGAATTCCAATGATTCCAAGTTTGTGCAGGAGTTAGGCAAAAGGGTCAGAGATGGTGCGGGATTAGGGAGTCAGTTGGTTGAGAAATTTACGGGTGTAGACCGGAAAAAGGATGGGGGAATGGCAGAAGCAGCGATTCCAGAAACTGGTTCTTTGCCTGACAGGAAGGATAAAACCCATGAAAGGAAAGGTGATGACCGAAAGTTGGGAGAGCGAGGAATCAAGGATGAGAGAAAATTCAGTGGAAATTCGGTGGTTCTAAACTCTGGTGCATCTATTCAGACAGTACCCAGGCCAGTGGAGAAAAATGTTGACAGGAAGATGGAAGGGAAAGAGAAGATCAAGGAAAAGGAAGGCGATAATAAGGGGTGGGACAAGCGCAGTATTGTGGACATGCACCAGATCAAAATCCAAGGGAAGGACAAAGACCGGGACAGAGAGAAAAGAAAGGAGGGCAAGGCGAAAAAGAGTGAAGGCAGAAAGAATGAACTGGAAAGACTCGGAGAAAGCAAAAAGGATAATGCTGATGCTACACCTACCCCTGATGTTATTGCACAACATCTGGAGAACACAAACAAGGTTACTCTTACCGGGGTAAATCTGAAGAAAAGAAAGGACATCGAAGCAAATGGGTTTTTACATGGTAAGTCTCGAAGGGCTTCTACCCTCCTTTGAATCATGTCGGTGCCACCAAAGCACTAATAAGTTGTCGCTTCTCTATCCTGGGATTCCTGTGGGTTCTGCAGACTGACTTGAATGCTTTCTGAACTTGAGTCTCTTCGTACTATTTGTTCTTGGGATTGTGGCACTGAACATTCAGTATTTGTGCAAGCTATTGTCAGGTGGGACATTTGCTAACATATTGACCGAACACCTACTGACTGTTGCTTTTGTATCTTTGTACAGAAAATGAAGCCAAGTTGCACAAGTTGCCAAGACCTACATCCACCTCACATCATTTGATGGAGAATGGAAGGATTTTGGACCCTTCCCAAACTCCCAGCAAGTTTTTATTGGATAGATGGGATTTCCCGGATGCTCTTAAAGCAGAGATCAAGGAGAACAAAGTAAATGGTATTCTTGATACTAAGCCAGATCCAATCTCCACAATTCATCCCTTACCGGAAAAATCTCTAGAAGATCTATTAGCTGAGGCAGCTGCCAGATCACCCCATCATGATTCGAAGTATTTAGATGAATTACTGGCAGTTCCGAAATTGGAGGAATTGCCTGAGTTGGAGCGTGATGATGACTGGCTGTTTGCAAGCCGTCGGCAAAAACCAAAGAAGGAAGAGGGAGGATCTTCTAAGGTAGAAGAGGAGACACCCAGGATTTGGGACAAAGCCGTCTACTTGGAGTCTGCAGATATTGTCGCCCTTCCATATGTGGTGCCTTTCTAATTGGCTTGTGATGTAAATTATGGTTCACAATCCTGATTGTGGAGACACTCTTCAGGACCAGAATTTGTGAGGTAATTTTCTAGAAACTGGCGGTGGAGATGGATCTTCTAATTTTCCTGTTGGATTTATCTCCAACCACATTCTGCAGATCTGTGCCTTTCAAGGTCTATTCAAGGCCCAGGCAACCATAACATTCTGCTGATTGATTATTTGCGGTACCGGGCATTTGGCGGCACTTTCTGTACGTCTTGAAGGAACGACTAATTCATTCAATGGGGAACTTCTATAGGAGCTAATTTGCTCAGAAAAGTGAGATGGCGTTAGCTTTGGGCATTCGATTCGCTTACAGGTTGGAGGTGTTGTTAGTTGAGATGTAAGAGAAACTAGAGCTTGTGGTCTTTGCAACTCCACCACAATTTTGGTTTGTAACATAGAAACTGTTTATTTACAGATGTAAGATAGAAGGGAAATGATAAGGAAGAAGCGCAATTCATTCATTTAGTAGGCTTCTCATTCTTTCAGATAAAACTCCGAACTCTTACTGTAGTTGGTCATTTAAGAGCTTCAGTATATAATGTGCCCTTTGAAATGATTCCGAGTGGCATCTCTGTTTTAATACTTAGGCATCTTTTTCCAGCAATGGTTTCTTTTTGTACTCAAGATCTTCTTCCTTATTACTCTCAGATGTGATCGCGTAATGGTCAATGTAAATTCTCTGGTCTACTTTGATGCAGACTCAATACAGTTTAGCAGGAACTGGTTTTTCATCTGGTACAAAGTTTCCCCATGCTGAATTCAACGAAATTCTACTTCTCAATGCTTTAGGCTCCACTGCATTTAAGAACCAAACAAGCATTTTTAACAGCACTACCAACTGGAGTTGAGGATCATCATGAAAAAGACAACATTCTGGGATCTCCAAGCATCGATACACTGATGTTCACGGACAGATTCTCGACAGATGCTGTGAAAGTTCTTTCACCTTCTGCAAAATCCATTAGAACACTGAATTTCGGCTACATTAATGGCTCTATTGATGTTTCAAAGCTCAAGTAGTCTACTTATGTTGCAAGTGAAAATTTCAGTTGATGGTCTATGAAGAGTTCGAAGAGGATTTTGAATCGTTGTTGGTGGCGATGAAAGCAGATTTTGAACTTTGAACTTTCGAGACGAGAACGCTGGACTTATTTTGCATGTGTGTTCCTTCGAGATCGAAGTAGCTTCACTAGACCTGAGCCTCAACGAGCTATTGAACTTGCCATTGCTACATACTGCGAAAATCACCGCATCTTCAATAAATGAATTAGGAAAGAGGAAACAAATTGCAGACCTATGAGTCGCTAAATGAATTAGAAAATATTTTCCGTGGTTTGGTAAGCAAATTCTCATTTGGTCAGAAATTGCTCATGCGGATGCTGGCCGTCTCTCATGGCATGGCCGGCAATGACATGGATAATTGCTTTAGTAGGCAAATCCTTTCCGTTTACTCGTTCTCAAGTAGGTTTTTCGTATTTCGACCGAAAAAAAAAAAGTAGGTTTTTCGTATGGGCTACAATGTGATTGCAAAAGCTTCGTAGCTTGTTGGGCCAGCCGAAGCCCAACGAGCCCGAACCAGATTCGGATCGAACTGGGAAAGAGCGTTCACCGAACGAAGCCCGACCCGGCCCGAGAACAGCGGGCCTAGCAACAAGACGGGCCGCAATTCGTCCGCGGCGTAGCCGCGCTCAGGTTTGGTTTTGCCCAGAACCGGGGGGAATCGGGCCGGGACCAAAGTTCGGCCCACATATACGGCCCAAGATTCGTCCAAGCCCGCTCGTTTATCCCTCGGGCTTAGGGTCGGGTCGGGTCGGCCCGTCGAAGCCCGTTTCGATAAACCCTCTCTATCTCTCTCTTCGAGTTAAACCCTCGTACCGAACGTATAATAGTTTTGCCCACGCAGCTCTCCCTCCACGCCGTCTCTCTCGCTCTCTCTCTCTTCAAGCTCCGCCGTGCAGTCTCTCTCCTCTCCTCTCCTCCGCGGCTGTGGAGGATTCGCCGGCCGCGCCTCGCCGGAGGAGCAGGACCGTCCGGCGATGGCGACGTCGTCCGATGCTCAGGCCGTCAAGTCTCTCAACAAGTCGCCCGGCCGCCGGCGCTTCGTCGTGAGTCCTCCCTCTCGGACATCCTCGGTTTTTCTTTTTCTCGACCGCCGCGAAGCTCGTGCTTCTACTACCTCGGGGAGCTCGCGTGATTTTTCTCGGTTGTTTAGGTCGTTGTTTACCGATCTCGATTTCGCGGAAGTCGCGAGGAGCAGTCAATTAGCGTGCTGTGTTACTGTTTTTGTCCCATGATTGCCTTTTATAGTAGAATTGGTTGTGCCATCCGGTCGAAGGAAAGTGAATTGATAGGAGAACTGCCTTATTGTGCTCACAGCGCTTTGATAATTATGTCTTGAGTTTAGCTTTTCGTTGTTTCTCTGCTTGCGTGTTGGTCGGCGGATGTTGATTAATCCGGTGACGTTTTCTTGTGGATAGTTCAAAACGTTCTCCCAGAGGTTGGAGGAAATTGAGATCGATGTCTACAAAAGCCTCGACAAAGTTAAGGCCGAGCCTTCCGAGGGATCATCTTTTTTCAGGGATTGCCTCGTAGAATGGAGGGTATGCAGCTTTTCACGTTCTTTCCTTCTTTCCCTATAATCTTTTGGGTGTCTCCCGATAGTTGTGAATTCATTACTGAAATTATCAGCAATCAATGCGCAGAAGTATGGAACGGTTGCAAAACAGCAATTTTTTTTGGGGTCTTGAGGGACTTGATATTTTCCTTTGGTCTCAGGAGATGTCTTTATGTCCTCTGAGGTTCATGAGTGGAAGCATGAAATGATTGCTAACTTTGCTTTGGGTGGAGTTTCTGCTCATACGGAATTCTTGCATGTGGAATATATGGTCGTTTCTGCTGCATGTATGAATTTAATAAGTTAGGTCGAGATAGCTCGCCTGCATTAGGCATTGCACCAAAATCTGTTCTTCTAGCTACCAAAGCATGGTAATTGTTAGAGGGGTCATGATAGTTTTCTCCTTTTGCAAGGAAATAGATGATGTCGAATTGCTCGTGGGCCAATGCTTATTATCTTCCTTTATTAGGATTTGGTTACAATGTCCTTCTCTCTCTCTCTCTCTCATGAGTGTTTGCAAATGTATGCTGTAATCAACGCCTTGATGTCTTCAAGTATTAGTGCTAGGGGCGGAACGGAGGTTGGCAAGTCAAGTGGGGGAAGTGAGTATAGGGTCGGATTAAAATTCAATGGGTTAGCTGTCTCTTACTCTAGGTCTGGAGTTGAAGGTTAGATGTTATAAAAGTTCATGTTATGATAGAGGATGTGGAGGTTGGTGCTTTGTTGCCATTTTTCTTAAGTTTTCCATCACTTTGGTTGGTCACGTTGGTTTTCTCCAAAATGGTGTCAATCATGTAAACCTTTTGCTTTGGAAGTCCCTTAGCTGGCAGATATTGAATATTTTCTACTCAATAATTTGCTTTCATTAATTTGATGGCTCACTGGCTGGTTTGGTTTTAGTTCCAGTTGACAGTGGCTATGCATTTGTGAAACCACTTGACCTTCTACGTTCGGGCTTCAAAATTTTCTTGGAAGGGGCCTTTCCTGAAATTTTATCTCTAGGTTTAATTGCTTTCTCTGTCATTCACTCCTTCCCATCAGAGGAAGAAATTGCTGTCCTGAATGGTAAACTTCTGATAGATTATGCGGTGATTTTTACTGAATCAAGTTGATGTGGTATTAGCAAATGCTTCGAATTTGTTGGGTTGATCATTGGCTGCAATTCTTTTCTCCCTTCTGATCTGGACATGGTTCCTGATATTACATTTCAGGAATTAAACACTGCAGAGGATTTTATCTCTTATTACGAGGAGATTATGCCTTTAGTACAGACATTGCCCTTGGTTTTATTGCACAAGGAAATGATAATGTCAAAGCTTTTATCTAGATTACAAATGAAGGCGAGGTTATCACTTGAACCAATTCTCCGGTATGGTAAAGTTTACTGCCATGAATTTCTTTTTATTTTGGTGATATTAAGCTTTATGTTGGTCCACTCATAATTCTAATTTGTGAGTCATGATTTTACTGTGTTTTGCTTAAGTTTATTCCCTTGCTTTTGATTTTCTTGGGGATGCTATGCAGACCTATAAGCTGGAGAGAGCAGATGATTTATGTCCCTCACTGATATTAATAATCCTTGAGTCGTTCACTTGCAATGAAAATGTTTTGTGGATAAGTCAGCAAGATATTGGCTCATATCACTGCGCAGGGTTTGAGTTGTGAATAAATGGTTTTTTGGCAGAAATGAGAGTTATTAGCATGTATACTAGGCATATACACTAACATCCAGCGATGAACAATTGAAAAGGTGAAAAAAGAGAATTAGGGGCTTGGCCCGATAGTGGTGGTCCCCCAGTACAAATACCCAAAAGATGTGGGGTTGGATTCTTAACTTCTCTTTCTATACTTGCCTAGCCATGGGAAAAGCAAGGGAGAAATAGGAGGAGAATAGACATGCTTTCCTAATTAGAGCACCCCAGTCAATTGCATTTTTACAGTATAAGTTTTTATCTTTTGAGGTTAACATCATTCTAGAGAGTGTTAGAGGAATTGTGTCCATACCTCTTGCTGTTTTTTATTTTTTATTTTATTTTTTTGGGTTGTTGTGGAAAGAATGAACAATTTAACAAAATAATTTGTCTCACTGAATGTCCTGCTTATATACACTAAATGAATACTTTCTTTGGTTTTGTTTTATAGGGACATTAGCATTTACTTGCATTCTGAGAAATTATTTAGTTTTTTTTTTGGTTTCAAATGCGTTTCATTTTCCATCATTTGAAGTTGACAAATATTTTGTTTTACCTTGATGTGAATACAGGTTGCTTTCGGCTTTATCTAGAGATTTGCTGGAGGATTTTTTCCCGTGAGTTCATGCTTTATCATTAATTCGTTTTGTTTGTCTTTAAGTCCTTTTCTCTTTTCAATCGTGCAACTTGACATGTGATTTCATCTCTCGAAGAAAAAATTAATCTCAACATAACCTTGTAGGGCAAATTTGATATATTAAATGCATCCAGGGTTGCCAATTCTGATCACCACAAGATAGACCATCTAACAATTTTGTTTCACGTGAGCAATGAGTTTTCTCTTTTTCTATATTTTTCTTTCAGGAGTGCAAGAGTTAGATGTCTGCCATAAAAGATATTGATGCAATTGACTTCTATTTGTGCAGTTTGTTTTCTAAATCGATAAGAATATTCTCGATTGTAGTCAATGGAAAGTCTGTTGTTTTTAAATTGCTCTTTACAGTTATCACTTGCCAATATTCTTAATAGTAGGGAGACGCATTTGGGACTTGAGACACTGATAGTTTCCTTTATGACTTCATGAAGAGCTTAAACTTAAGTCTTTCAATAACTTGTAGATACGTGCAACTTAATCGATCAATTTTAAAATATCGTTCAATCGCTTTAATGAAAACCTGCTTAATTTTTTCTTATTCATGATGGAAATAGTGAATAATAGATATATAAACTAGTCGAGTGGATTGGGTGGTAGAATTGTGGACTAGAGGCGACTGTGGCAGTGGTGGCTGTCATGCAATAACGATATTCTGATGGAAAAGTAGTGATAATTTTGTGAATGAGCTGCTGATGTCTACAGTGGTGGCCAGAATGGTGGTAGTGGTGGTTGATAGTTGTTGGTAGGAAGTGCTAGTGAAATTTGTAAGATGGAGCAGTGTTTTGGACAGATAGGTGTGGAGATGAAGGTGGTGATTATGCTGGTGGCTGTGGCCAAGATAGATAGATGTAGCCTACATAATGATATTTACTTTTAGAACCTAAGCACTGCAAGTTCAAAATTTCATATCAATAAGTACTTGATAACTATGTACAACTCGTATATTTCAGATGCCAACAAAAGAATGATGCCAGCAAAAAGATTTTACATTTTTCTCAACTATTGTCTTTAAGACTTAAAATTCAGGTCTTAAATATCCAATAGTTAGTTCTCAGTTTTTGTCAAATAGTGCAAGTTATTATCCTAAAAGCAAGAGGCACAGTGCAACGCACCTGCTTACGTGTCGTGTGCTGCCAGTGCTTTGGTTTCTTACTGGGATGTTTCCTAAACCATGTAAACCATTTGTAATACGAAGAAATACAAAGCAAAGCATATTGCTCACTTAGGATTTAGCAACTGGGGCACAGAAGTTTGGAGAAGAAGGTTAAAAGATTTCTGATCTTTTCAGAATTTACGAATAAAAATTTAAATTGTTTAATTCCCACTGATTGGTTGGGTTTTTTAACATATGGAGGAGAACTATAAGTAGATACTAATAGATGGTATTTTCAGTGACAATATGTAGGGAAGGGTGAGTAGAGGTTTTACCATTGTGTAGATTTTTTTTAACAGGTGGACACATGCTTTTCTGCCCATAAGGTGATTAAATATCTCTTCCCTTTCATTACAGTAAAAGTAAATAGTATTTAGGTCTTGTGTATGCTCATGGAAAGCTAATCATCATAGAACCTTGGGTAACATTCGTGTTGATAATATAATTGGTTTCAAAGACCAAACATATATTGAGAAAACTAAAGCACCTTTATTATATTAATGGGTTAAGAAAGCAAATTATCAACAAGGTATAAAAACTCTTTCCAGTTTTAGGTATGAACATCAGGAAACAATTTTTCTTCAGGTTTGAAGGTGAGGGTCGTTTAGAATTACTCTCCATAAGAGGTTCTTGAAGTTCACTTCAAATTTGACCAGAAAAAAAAAGTTCACTTCAAATTGAGGGGTGAGGTTTTTCAGAGTTTTAGGCTCTGTTTGTTTGGCGGAAAATGAATGATTTGGAAAACATTTACCAAAAAATGATCGCTTGTACCGCTTGAAATAATTAGCCAATGGAAAATTCATTATCAACAATAATTTATGTCTAAACATTTCCATGGATGATGAGAATATTTTCGTTCATTTATTTTTATAAGCGATTTTTTTTAAGAAAATGTTTTTCAAATCATTCATTTTTTGCGATACAAATGGAGCTTTAATCACACCGGTGTCTTCAGTAGGCATTAACAGAAAGCATATGTTCTAGACAGGTAGTTTCTCCAGTAAAACTATGATCTTGACACCCTTTAAAGAGATGAAATATATAAATCCTTTCAGAATTTATATTTGCCATCTACACCGTAAGCAATGATTCCAAAATGTTTAAAGTAATTCACATGACTAATGTGATAAGTCTTTTAACAAGTATTGAACAGTCAAATTTTGCTGCAAACTGCATAAAATTTTTGTTATTACTTTCAATCACACTTGGTGGTAACAAGAATATATTCTTCATGGCAATATTAAAGGCTGTCAGCTATTACCATTGAAGAGCCTCACATGCAAATATTGCTTAAGACATAAAGATAGATAGGTCACAGTATGATTAATTTTTACTATTTTTTTCCCGTGTCATTTGTATGTTCTGAGTGAACATTGATAACACGTGATTCTGTTCATTCTCAAGAAGTCGTAGTATTTGGTTGTGAATCAGTCCACTTCATGCAGTTTAAATTTTGCTATTGATTCTTGAGAGATTTGAGCTTTTTAATCTAAGAATTGGATTGAATTGAATGATATGACTGGCTGTCCCATGCAAAAGTTGTATCCGGAATAGGGACTTATTTTACTGCGGGCCCCACCTAAATTTTTTTTTTCCATCCGTGACCCAACCTTTGCCAAATATAAAAGGGAAAAGGAAGTTGGGTTTTCTTTTGCTTTTTGGAGGACGACACTTGAGTTTGTTCTTTTCCTATACCTGCACATAGCTCTGCGGACTACAATTTACATGATCTTTACTTAGATACATTATATATTATTCCAACATGATATACTATTCCTTAAGTGCTGTGATTTGGAATTCTCTGTCCCTTTTTCGGGCGATTTGGAACCCCAAAATCAACGATTCCAACATTCATAAACCGTAAATGATCATCTTACTTTCAGGCGAAATTCGATATAGGAATATACTTTAGCAAGAATTGACTAACTTTTACTATATTTGGAGTCTTTAAGTTATGGATATCAATATGGATGTTGCTCTTAAAATGACCAATTAATCATATTACGTTTGAAAAAAGCCTACTCTATTGTACTACACTTCAGAACTAGGGCATGTTCTGAAATGCCATTGCCATTTTTTGTATGAGAGCAATAATGGTCTCTATTCTACTTTTTTTATTGACTGTGCCATCTATCGATGGCTAATAAAGGACACTTTGTCTTCTGAAAATCTTATGATATCTCTAAAATCGTGCATTGGTAACTTGATTCTATATATAATCAATTTGGTATACTTTTGCCAGGTTTTTACCAAGGATTGTTGATTCATTAGTTTCTCTTCTCGAAAATGGTGCTGATAAGGAACCTGAGATTATTGAACAGGTTTCATCCATTAAATTTGTGATGTTTTTGAGACTATGCTTTTCATTTTGATTGGCCATATTAATGAGCTTTCCTTCTGCAGATCTTCTGCTCATGGTCATCTATGATGATGTATTTGCAAAAGTATCTAAGACGGGACATTGTACATGTGCTCAAGTAAGTAATGTTTCATGGATTGATCTTGTGATAGACATGTAATGTCAACCTTCTGGATATGAGAGTTTCGCTCCTTTTCTTTTAGTTTCAATGGGGAGATATATCAATGTCTTGGTGGGTAATTTGGTCTATATGCACTCTAACATCTTGTTTGGGAAATGACGTGTTTGTAGAAATGAAGTATTTGAGTCTGTTTGTTTGAATCATTCTTTCTGATTAAGATACTCATTTTAATCATCTCTTTCTTGAAGGATTACCATCAAATTAAGATATTATGTTAAAGAATATGTCCAAGAATTTATGGCAGAAGCAATGTCATTCTTGCTAAGGAATGCACCTGTTGAAGAGCTTATAAAAGGTATGAGAATGGGTTTGCATCCAAACATTTATTGTTTCATTATCTGACATGAAAATCCTGTGTTGTTTGGCTGTAATACTCAACTAGTTGTTAGCATAGATCAGCATCATTTTCTTCAAAATGATCAGAAAAAAAGAGACTCTTCACATAACGAGTATGCTTGTGCTTGAACATGTAACATCTACAGCAGAATAGTCAATACAACAGGACTTTTTTGTCATCAAACTAATGCTAAAAGGGAAAAGTCATTTGATTGTGAAGTATTGATTTAATGCGAAGAAAAGGCTGCCATTTGGTCAGTTATATTTGGGGAGGCTAGTCGACTCACGTTTGCTTGAAAAATGACGTGATATATTAATGTCTGATGTCTCAAGTAGGAAGCATTGTGAATGAAGTAATAGAATGTTCTAACCATTTCCTTCCTGTCAAATCGTATTAAAAGAACGTAGTATGTCCTTTTCTCTAGTGGTTATAATGTGAAAATACCCAATTTGGTATTAGATGTGCAGAGGAAAAGGTTTATAAGCAATACTATGTCACCTTGACTATCTTTAATAACCTAATTGAATCCCTCTGTGCGTGGTTAAAATGACACAAATGATCTATGAACTTTGGTCTAATGTGTAATGTCGTCCCTAAACTTTTAATTTATTCAATGTGATCCGTAAGCTTTAGCCTAATGTGTAATGTCGTCCTTGAAGTTTTAATTTGTTCAATGCGGTCCTTGAACTTTTGGACATGTTCAATCTAGTCCCTAAACTATATAAAAATGTTCAATGTTGTCTTTCCATTAATTCAAGGACGAAAATATTGAATATTTTTATATAGTTCAGGTGCTAGATTGAGCTTGTGCCAAAAGTGCAGGGACCACATTGAACAAATTAAAAGTTCAAGGACGGCATTTCACAGCAGAACAAAGTTCAGGGACCACATTGAACAATTAAAAGTTTAGGGAAGGCATTGCACATTGAGCCAGAGTTTATGAAATTTAAAATGAATCTGTCTTGATTTTTGCTGTTGCTGCATTTGCAAAGATCTTCCATCACTCAAAACTGTCTAGAAAGATTGCTTAGGATGCTGATTGTGGCTAGATCTCCATCACATTATAGGATATATGCCCTAGTTTTACATGATTGTTGCTAGTTCTTTTATAGCATGGATAGTTTCGATCTAACTTTCTTCATTCCGAATATTCATTTATAAAGGCAATTAATACGTGGTTTTAACTTCTTTCTTTAGCAAAAATGTGGAGGAAATCTGCTTCCCACGTTTAATTTATTTCGTGAGTTTAATAATAAGTCCCCATGTAGGTTTTATTCTTACTAGTCATGTTATTGGAGCAGGTGTAAGAAAGCTCATGTTCGAAGTTGTGAAGAAACAATCAGTTGAGAGAAAAGCTGGTGTTAGTGCACTATTGTATTATACTATGAGAGGAACATCACTGCAGTTCCATTCAAAGGCAGAGCGTGTACTGCGGATATTGCTGGATAATTCAATTTTCAGGATTGGCGATAAATTCACCGAAGGCAAGTTTCCTTTTCTTTCCTCTTTGAACAGTTGACTTCGAGTTAATATACCAAAACAAATTTTTTTTGGATCAAGTACCAAAACATTTTTCTTCACTCATAAATTTTTTGCAATTTTGTTGCCTTTCTTATGGCTGTATGTCTCAAGCAAGCATAAACATTCTTACTATACTGACAACCTGACACTAGACTTTGCAGGACATTGATTACATCATTGTTTATCTGATAACTACAATTGCAACTTTTTCTTTGTTTTCCTGTATAAAAATTGGCATTATTGGTAGTAGTTTGTATTGTCTCTTTATTTTGACTTTTTTATTATTTTTATTTAGATCTTCATCTTCATTTATTCTTTTTGGAGCTTTCTTGCATTTCCAATAAAAGAAGATTGTGCTCTTCTAGGGCTGTAAACGTGTGACTGGATTTTCCATTGAACCGAAAGGTTTCTGGTCTTGACTCTCTCTCTCTCTCCCCCTTCCAACCCCACACCACGCAAAAGCAGGTTCAGACACTATTGTTGAGGTCATTGATGCTACCTTCCGAAGGTTATATGAAGAGCTGGAGTCCGAGGAGTTGACTTTGTTGTGGAATTGCTTGTATCAGGAGACCATTGTTGCTATAAATAACAAAAACTCTTCCTACCTTGGTAGACTCTTGACTTTATCAATCTCGAACGTCCAGTTTGACGAAGGACGCAAAGTTTTAGGTAGTTTAACAATTCACATTATGATACCTTTCTAATTTAAGTTACCGAGATACATTTCTTGATTTTGCTCAACATCTTGCAGATTATAGGCCGCTTCTTGAACTCGTGACAATGCTTGTGCAAAAGCTTTTCGTTTTTCATGGTTCCACAGTAGCTGAGGATGGTCTTGTCGAGGTTCTTGATAAGGTTCTGAAGTTAATGCTAAGTATTGTTGATGGGCTACATCGTGCTAATGACTCGTCTGCTCTCCAACACTGCTGTATGCAATGGACTCCTCTATTCGCGTTGCATAACTTGAGGTAATTGGTTTAACGAAATACTTTGTGTTCTCCTGTAACTTTTTTCGACTTTTCCGTTAATATCTTCACACTATGGGTCTTGTGGCTTTCAGTTTGTTGGAATTTATTGGAGAAATGCTACTGAAGGATTCTTCAATAGTGAGTGTATTCCGTGCCATCATTTTGAGGTAACATATCCTTTTGCACTGTCTTATTCCTTTTGTGATTGCATAGATTACGGCCTGTTACTTCTACCATACCCCGATTTCAACTTTGCTGGTGGGACTACAGGACACTGGATAATTTAATTGAAAATTCCCTGGAACAAGTGATCTGTCTTTGCCTCTGCTTATCTGAGAAAATGCAAGTAGAGGTTGACATCCATGGGGTATTATTTGGAGGACATTCAAGGATTCAGCTAATTGTGCAGCAAACTCTTACCAACTGGATATCTTTGATAAAGGGTTTTAGAAATGGAGATCGCTTGTCTGTTCAACTTGATGAGACTGAACTGGCTTTGCTGTGGGGAGTCATATGCTGCTATCCCTATGCCTTTGACAGTCCGCACAATGTGGCCTTGTTAATGGACCTGATCAATGAAATTGATCAGCTTTTAATGGCCCAAGATGGTATGATTTGTTTTTGTCTCAGCATATATTTCAATTTTTTGCTCTTAAATGCATCACAATGGATGGCGAGCTACTTATTTACAAGCAATAGTACATGAATATACTTCACTTTCATTTGATAAGCTTGTAATAATTATTCTTATTTATGTTCAGATAAAATCCTAGGTTTTTCTAGGCACACCTGGCAAAGCCTAATTGGTGCTGCTATAAGTTCCCACCACAGACTATGTTGCGATACAAAATCTGGGTTTGAAGATGCAAATAAGGTCGTGCAACTTGCGAAAAGACACAAGTCATCTCCTCAAGTGTTGGTAGCTGTTGCTGATTATCTTGATTGGGTGCATGGGTAAGTTGAACAGCTTTGCTGCTTAGAATGCTCTTTGGTAATTTGTTTTTCCTTTCTCTTTTGCAATTCTTCAAAATATGTTCTTTTCCCAATCAATCAAATTTGTGCATGTGTAAATCTCTGTCGCTATCTTCCTATGATAGGCCTAAATTACAAGAAGCTAGTGACACATACCATCAGGAGTTCGAGACAAACAAGTTTGCGGAGGCAGTTGATGTTTTTGCAGAAAATTTGTCTCACTTTGACAAGAGGATTCGCGTCTCAACTTTACGAATACTGTGCCATTATCAGCCTCTCAGTTGTGATATCTGTACTTCAGATCGACCTGTAGGGCTGAAAATGAGTAATGAAATTTGCCAGACTTCCCATGGCATTGGTCTGGGTGGTAATGTATGTATTTTATTTTCCATCTAGTGAGTTGACTTATTCTTAACATCACTGTTGTGTTCTCATGTTTCATCAATTTCAGGTGCTTGAGCTCCTCCTTTCTATTGAGACAATTCCTCTTTCAGTTTCTACCAGCAGGAAAGTGATCCTATTGATCTCTAAAATACAGACGGATTTATCTGCTGGAAGGATTGGTGAAAGCTATGTACCCTTGCTTTTATATGGGATAATAGGCATCTTTTATAACAGATTTAGTTATCTGTGGGCTCCAGCATTGGAGTGCCTTGCTTTTTTAATTAGCAAACATGTTGGAACTGTATGGGACATTTTTATACGGTATCTCAAAAGCTGCCAATTGTTTTTCAAAGCTTCTCGTGATCATCTTAAGGAAGTAACTGCTGAATTGCCTGACAAGTCAAATGGTACGTGATGCTCCAGCTTTACGATATCTGATAGTGATACCTTGTACGTTGTCTCCAGTACTTTTGGTGTAGTTATCTATTTCAGATGATTTTTGGTGTCACTTCAATTTTCAAATGATCTGTGGTGATAGAGTAGAAACCATTGTGCATTTAAGCTTTTGATGATTTGCTGTCTTATTGGCTTATGTAAGAAACTAATGTTCAATTTTTCATGGTACTGAAATTTCAGGCTTGGTAGAGCGCTTTCATTTGTTTACAAGTCCAATGGTGGATAGGACACCTATCGAGTCGGTATTTTCACTGTTGATCCAATCTCTGCAAAAAGTTCCAACTATTGTTGAAGCTCGATCTCGGCAACTTGTTCCTCTTTTCTTGAACTTTTTGGGATACAGTGATGACGAGCATTCAAGGTAGTCACTTTGGTTGCTAAACTTTCTTAAAGCAGTTCTTGCACCTAAACCTGTGGATTATTCTTTCACTCTGTTTGTTGCAACTGAATGCCATGTTCATGTGAGATGCAGTGTTGGTTCATTCGATTCACGTGCTTGTAAAGGAAAACAATGGAAGGGCATCCTCAAAGAATGGCTGAACCTGCTAAAATCGATGCGCAATCCTAAATCCTTCTATTGGAGTCAGTTTCTCAAAGAAGTTTTGCAAAACAGGTACTTGAGGTTGTCAGATTGTGCCTGCTTCATTTATCTTTGGCAATGTTTTGGAGTATGCTTGTGCAAAGATTAGCAAGCTTTATTACTAATTCAATGTCCTGTTGTTTTGACAGGCTTCTGGATGACACTGATCCTGAAATACAGATGAAGGTTCTGGAGTGCCTCCTGACATGGAAGGATGAGTTCTTACTGCCTTATGAGCAGAATCTCAGGAACTTGATTGATTCGAAAAGCTTACGGGAAGAATTAACTACATGGAGTTTATCCAAGGATTCTAATCTGATTGAATATGGTCACCGAGCTTATATTGTTCCTTTAGTCATCCGGATTTTGGTGCCCAAAGTGAGAAACTTAAAGACATTGGCCTCGAGAAAGGTATCTATCTCGTCAATCAGCGCATAATTACTTGGTTTCAATAATTTCCATAATTATTTTTCAAGTACAGCGAGGCAGAATTCTTGTACGTCTTGGTGAATTGAATTTTTTTCCCTGCTTATTCTGACTCATTCAGCCGTTAGATAATTTACACCTTTTTGCTTCATGTCAGCACAAGAGTGTGTATCATCGGAAGGCAGTTCTTGGTTTCATTGCTCAGTTAGATGTTAATGAGCTTCCGCTTTTCTTCGCGCTGCTGGTAAAGCCTTTTCAAGTTATTGCCATGGGAAGTGATGGCACGCAGAATTGGTTTGTGTACTCTGCAAGCAGTTCAATGGACGACTTTCTGCCATTTAACTTTTTGAAGTATTTTACTGCGGATAATATAGCAGCCCTCTCTTGGAAGAAGAGATCTGGTTACTTGCATGTAATTGAGGATATTCTAGTGACCTTTGATGAATATCATATAAACCCGTTCCTTCAACTGTTAATGGGTTCTGTCATTCGAATTTTGGCTTTCTGTACATGTCAATTGGACAGGAGAAAGAGCAAGAATCCGTCTTCGTTAAATGGGTCTACTAATCTAAACCAGGCTTGGAATGAGGACACTGGAGCTGGGGATAATCTTCTGGTAATTTCTCTATTATAGGTGAAAATGTTGCATTGACTGTTCCAGATTTATCATTTATTTACTTATTGGTAATATTTCCTTTTATATGGAGATCAATAGAGTATAAAGAAAAAAAATCAAATTGTTAGATCAGCTCTCTGCAGTAGGTGAAAACGATTGGGGTGAAATTTGAATGGAAACATAAATTTTGCATCTTTCTCAAGTTGTTGTCTCTAGTAATTTATCTTGTCAAATCCCTGATACGGGCAGATGACTAGCTTGCATTCGAAGCAAGAAGATATAATAAAGCTTCTTCACTTATATAATTCGTGAGAGATCTCAGCATTAATCCCAAAATGTCCCCAAAATCGACATAAAATATCAAAGTCCCCCCTATTCCTAATTTTATCTTAGATAGTGCCTAAGCTTACTAAGAGTCTGTCAAATTGCCCGAAAACCGATCCGCCATGAGCAAGCTTCTATGGCATCAATTCCCGTGCAGCTCAGATGATTCTTTGGTGCCGACAAGGAGGCTTGCTCTGTCAAAAATTGGCTAACACAGATCTCATGTGACTAGTGGAAGCTGAGAGTTCTTTTCCTGCAAATGTCCTCCTTGTTGGCGGCAAAGAATCATGTGAGAGACACCAGTACCGAGTCTAAATTACTCACGGGGCAGATCGCTTCTGCCACTAATTGCTACACATTAGCAAGTCTGAGGGTTAACGGTCACAAAATTGGGTGCGGACGGAATTATGTCAATGTTCTTTTAGGGGCATTTTGGGATCAAGGGGTTGATATGTTCTCCTCTTTTATATAATTATGTGTATTTCCTTTTCTTTTTGTTCATCTTTTTCACTTTCTAAAGCTCAAATTCTATTTTGAAGGTGGGTCTGGAAAGTAAGCAGGTCAAGGATCTGAGGTCTTTATGCCTGAAAATTGTTTCCTCTGTTTTAATTAAGTATGAAGAACGTGAGTTTGATGGTGACTTATGGGACCTTTTCTTCCATTCGGTGAAACCATTAATTGAAGGCTTCAAACAAGAGGGTTCAAGCAGTGAGAAGCCGAGCTCACTGTTCTCTTGTTTTCTTTCTATGAGCAGAAGCCACAAACTTGTATCCCTGTTGTGTAGGGAACACAGCCTGGTCCCGGATATGTTTTCAATGCTGGCTATTACAACTGCCTCTGAAGCGATTATATCAGCCGTTTTAAAGTTTATAGAGAACCTTCTCAGTCTTGACAGTGACTTGGGGGAAGAGGACAGTTGTGTTAGAGAAGTTCTACTTCCTAACCTTGAGGAACTTACTTGTAGTCTGCATTCTCTTTTTCTTGGTGATTCTCCTATAAAGAGGTAAAACCATACTTTGCACATTAGTAGATTACGCCACTTACGTCTCTTGTTAGAACTATATTTTAGTAGTTTTGCTTAGCTTATCTTGATTAATTTGTGCTGGATTAAAGTTGTCGAGGTTGAATCTTGTTTAGTTTATGGCCAATGGATAAATCCGGTTTAGTTTGTCATAAAATCTCTTTCTGATAATTTTGACTCTTAGTCTAACACTTTGAAAGCATGTTCACCTTTTCGTCATTGCGTTAAATTTTGGTTTACTGATGTATTTTGGGAATTGCACGCTTTTTGAAAGTGTGCTTGGACAATGTACTGCTCTCTTCCTATAAGTTCTTACCATCCGAAACAGGAAAATGAAGCTACAGAAGAAAAGAAATATTGTGCATTCATGCCCATATATGCCTTGCGTATTCATCTTTGCATTTCATGATTGGTCTAAGAGGCATAAGTGTCAAGTAGGCATTTTAGATGTGATCCAGAAGTGTGAAACTCTTGTAGGGATGGAGTCAACAGCTTCAAGCTGAGAAATTGTGCTTTCTAATGTGCGACTGACTGTACTGTTGTCTTGTTAGGAATTGCTTCTATTTTCCTTTTCACTTTTGAGTGCTCTTATGTGGTACTGTATAACAAAATAATAAGTGGAAATATTAAGATACTGTAAGTTTTGTTTAAATGCTGCATGCAGTGCTGTCGTACTTCTTTAGCCATCTCTGTTGACTGTCTTGAGCTCTGCTTAACGATTGCCAATTTCTTCTCTAAAAATCTGTTGGAGTTTTAAATTTGCAATACCATGCCAAATGGTACTAACAACGAGAATTTGATGGTGTTCTGATATGTTTCCTTGTATTCTCTAGAGTTCAACCTTCTCAAAATACAGCAGTAGGATTTGTTGGACCATTTCTTTTGTTTTGGTCTCCGTTACTTGATAGGCCAGCAAATGACGGTTTTAGAGTCATGTTTTGTCCTATAGACAAAGACTCTGGTGAACATATCCAATGTTGGTTGTTTTTAGCTAAGGTGCATTTGTTTTGCAAAAAATGAAGGATTTGGAAAATATTTTCCTGAAATTGATCGCTTGTATCGCTTACAAAAATGAATGAAAGAGTCATATTTTTATCATTTATGAAATTTTTTAAACATAAATTGTTGTTGATCTTGAAAAAAAACTTCATTGACTAATTATTTCAAATGATACAATTGATTATTTTATGGAAAACGTTTTCCAAATCATTTATTTTCTGTGAAGCAAAGGGAACCTAAGTCTTAGATGTGAAAGACTTGTATAATATCATCTTATCCAAAAGAATGTGCTTCTCGTTCTTAGTAGTTCATTCATTAAGTAGTAGTCTGAAGTGTTTACATTGTAAATCAATCATTTCCAGCTTTTATTTGTTGTAACAATCATCTTTCCATACAATGATGAACAAAATAAGAAAGAAAAAAAAAAATCCTTGGTAGGCTTGGTTATGCATGAATGTGGATGATCCAATTCCGGTAGAAAGCCAGTTTGAAGAGGAAATTGAGATTTGGGAAATAGTGGCATAGAATAATCAATTTTCTTTTTATAAGAAGTTATGCTATGTTCTGATTAGTCAAACCTGTATCGTGGATCTATGGAATGACGCTACTGCAAATAGTAGGCTTTATTTTTATTTTGGAACTATGTAAAGGAAAGAAGTCCGCTCTTTATTCTAACTTCCTCCCGTTAATTTGGAAGGTAAAGTTAGTCAAGATGCATGAAATCTGAGAGATTAATGATTTTGATTTGTCGTGACAGGAAATTGATCAAACATCCTGGGGAGTCTCTGATAAAAGTATTTAAATTTCTACCCAAGTATGTGAGCAATCAATCACTAGGAAGAAAGATTATGGATGTTTTACTTCTGTTCTTGTCAAAGGGAGCTCACAACCCTGGTAAGAAACTTCAATACTTACAGTGACTATAATTGTCATACACTTACATTTACTATCTAACCAGTTACATTTTTTTCAGATGTTTATCGAGAAATTCTGCATGTGATTCGAGACTTGTTACCTGTCTTGGGTGGCATATGCAATAAGGAGATTCTGGTTGCAGTTTCTCCTCTGCTTAGTTGGGTCGAGTTGGATATGCGAGTATCTATTTGTAATCTTCTCGTTGCTCTTGCTGAAGCCGACCATTCTATAGCTGTTGTGGTAGTATTTGCCCTTCCCTTGAATTTTCTTTTGTATTTTTTCTAGGCGATTTCATAGTTCTTAATGGTGACTACTTTGTTGGACTGCAGGGAAAACTCATAAACGAATTGAATGCAACCTCTTCCATGGAAATAGAAGGCCTTGACTATGACAGAATAACGAATGCCTATGAAAAGATTAGCTTCGATCTGTTCTATTCTGTTGAAGTGGATCATGCATTAATAATTTTGTCGCAGTTTGTCTATGATATGTCCTCTGATGAATTAATCTTAAGGCACAGTGCTTATCGGTCGTTGCACGCTTTCATTGAATTTTCCACCAAGATCATTGACCGTGACACAAAGGGTGTAGAAAAAATGCTAGAAGGCATGGTGGTTCATGACAGTAGTTGGTGGACAAAATCATCTGTCGAGCGCATTGTTGATAAGTTCCTCTTGAAGCATTTAGGGGAGGCAATGAGGAAGAAAGCACCAATTCGTAAGGTATTATATTTTATGTCAGTGGGTATAATCTCATGGTTTAGAATGTTGCACTTGGAACTCCATTAGTTATGCCTAGAAAGATTGCGCATGCACATTTAAAAGAGACATACATTGGCACTAAAAACGAGTTTCTTTGTGCCTTTCTGATTGTAGGATGTGTCCGGAAGAATGATAAACACACATTTAGTACAGTTTTTTAAGTCATTTTTCTAAGTTGATAGTTGAACTTTCCCCTTTTATATTGATTTTGTCGAATAGCAATTAATGGTTAGGTGTCATTATTAGGCACCCTGTTTTAACTTTGCCTTACATTTTTAAAGGAATGGATGGATCTGCTACGAGCGATGGTCTTGAAGCTCCCTGAATTGGCAAATCTGAATTCGTTCAAGTCATTATGCAGTGAAGATGCTGAAGTAGATTTCTTCTTCAATATTGTTCATCTGCAGGTTGGTGTCAGCTTTCTGTTGCCTTAAATTTAAAATGGACATTTGGTCTTGGCTTCGATGTACTTGTTGTCTGACTTTTTGGTTGCCCCTTCTGACTATGTAGATAAAACTTCCTTTTAGTTTTGAATAATATAGCTAGTGTAACTGTTTTTTCTTTATAAAAACCAAAAGAATCCTATGAGAGCAATATTTGCTTTCTGCAAAAGTATGTCAAGAGGATGTTCTATCTTGATCTTCCGAGTACTTCTGATATATTGATTATTGTGATGACAGAAGCATAGAAGGGCAAGGGCTTTGTCACGCTTTAGGAGTGTTATAAGTACCAGTAGCATGTCCGAGGTACTTCTGTCCTCATGTTAGTTGTGATTTTAATATCTGATGTCCATTATTTGAACGATAATTCTACTGTCAACTTCCAGGACATCCTTAACAAGATTTTCATCCCAATGTTTTTCAATCTGCTGTTTGATGTTGAAGATGGAAAGATAGAGCAAATAAAAAATGCATGCCTAGAGGCCCTTGCATCAGTCGCTGGTCATGTGGGATGGAGGTCCTATTATGCATTGCTCATTAGATGCTTCCGACAAATGACCACAGATCCTGAGAAGCAGAAGCTATTGTTGCGTTTAATTTGCTGTATTTTGGACCAGTTTCATTTCTCAGAAGTCAACTTTAATCGAGAACCCATATGCCCTTCCGAAACTGCTCTAGATGCAGTCAAGATGGGTAATGCTTCAGTTAATTTAAGAAAATGTACTTCAATTGAAGCCCTGGAGATCCAGGATTCCCTCCAGAAAAATGTGCTACCTAGGATACAGAAGCTTCTCAACTGTGACTTGGATAAGCTTAATGTTAATATTAATCTAGCAGCACTCAAGCTGCTAAAGTTGCTTCCAGGGGACACATTGGATTCACAGCTTCCGACTATCATTCATCGTACGGTAAATCTCTTGAAGAGTCGTGCAGAAAGCGCTCGTGATGAAGCCAGGTCTGCTTTAGCAGCTTGTTTGAAGGAACTTGGGCTGGAATACTTGCAATTCATACTCAATGTCCTGCGTGCTACACTAAAGCGAGGATATGAGCTGCATGTACTGGGTTACACATTGAACTTTGTATTGACGAAGGTTCTTGTGACTCCCAGTAGAATAAAGTTGGACTATTGTTTGGAAGGTCTTTTATCAATAGTAGAGAGCGATATCCTTGGAGATGTTTCTGAGGAAAAAGAGGTGGAGAAGATAGCATCTAAAATGAAAGAAACTAGGAAACGGAAGTCGTTTGATACCTTGAAATTGATTGCACAAAACATCACATTCAGAAGCCATTCTTTGAAACTTCTTTCTCCTGTAACTTCTCAGTTACAGAAGCATCTGACTCCAAACCTGAAAGCGAAGTTGGAGAGCATGTTAAGTCATATTGCAACTGGGATTGAGTCTAATCCTTCCGTTGATCAGACCGACCTGCTCATTTTTGTATATGGCCTCATAGAAGATGGAATAAACAAAGAAAAGGGTCAGGGTGATAATTTGACAGTTCCTTCTGGACAGAAATATCATAAGGATAACATGAGGGGGAACAGAGTTTCTATGAGTCAGGTGTTTCGAAATGACTCTCAGGGTTCACATATGATTACAGTGTTTGGTCTTGGATTGTTGCATACTCGACTAAAAAATTCAAAAATGGACAGAAATGATGTAAATCTGCTGTCGATGTTGGATCCTTTTGTTGTGCTGTTATGCAGCTGTTTAAGTTCTAAATACGAAGATATCTTGTCAGCATCTTTAAGATGTTTGACTCCTCTGTTCAGGCTGCCCTTGCCATCTTTTGAAACTCAGGCTGACAAAATTAAAGGAGCGCTGCTTGATATTGCCCAAAGTTCTGTGGATAGTAGCAGCCCCCTAATGCAGTCATGCCTCAGATTATTAACTGTGCTTCTCCGGATGACCAACATCACACTTTCTTCTGAAGAATTACAAACACTGATACAATTTCCGATATTTGTCGACCTCGAGAGGAATTCTTCTTTCCTTGCCCTGTCTCTACTGAAGGCAATTATCAGACGCAAGTTAGTGGTACCTGAGATATATGATGTTGTAAAACAAGTTGGAGAATTGATGGTAACTAGTCAAGTGGATTCTATACGTAAGAAGTGCAGTCAGATTTTATTGCAATTTTTACTCGATTACCATCTATCTGAGAAGCGGTTGCAGCAACATTTGGATTTTCTGCTTTTGAACCTGAGGTGAGTACTTATTTGAATACAGAACAAGGTTTCCTCTGATGGGTATCCATTGACTTACTTTGTACATTTCAATGCAGGTATGAGCATTCAAGTGGAAGAGAGGCTGTGCTTGAAATGCTTCATGCTATTATTGTCAAGTTTCCTAGTAGCGTTCTGGATGAGCAGTCACAATCATTATTCATCCATCTGGTGGTTTCTTTAGCAAATGATGAAGATAACAGAGTTCGCTCTATGACTGGTGTAGCGATAAAACTTTTAGTCGGGTGTATAAGCCCTCATCCACTTCATTCTATCCTTGAGTATAGTCTTTCTTGGTATTTGGGTGGGAAAAAGCAACTCTGGAGTGCTGCAGCACAGGTAGATAATCAGGAATCTGTCCATAGTTCCAATAATTTACATCTTCTGTGCTAGTGTCAGGTTATCCATGTTCCATGTTCCTTTGTACTACACTTTGCTTCCTGCTCTCTCTCTCTCTCTCTCTGTCTCTCTCTCTCTCTCTCGGCATGTCGGTACATACAAGTAAGTGGGTGAGACAGTGATGGAAGCCATGGTGGTATTACATTTCGAGTGTGGAAATATTGGTGCTCTGCATATTGGAGAGAACTTAGGATTCTACATTACCATGTATCCATAGAAAAGTCGTGGACTTTTCAAATTAGAGCCTTTGTTCGTTGATGATACCGACAAGATAGGATCGAATGTGTTGCCAGTGAAGGCCTGTTCTTTTATGGAGTGATAATTGTTGCCGTGGTCTTTTTCTCAATTCACTATCTTATCTGTCAATATATTTCTGTCTGGACTTTGTACCATCCAAAACGTAGTTGTCTCGGTTCGTTCTTTGTATTTTGAATTGAGTTTACTTAATCCAGTGCTTTTGGAAGCCACCGTAGTGGCTGATGTTATTTTCTGTTTCTTAAAGAGATGCATCCATACAATTGCTTTTATTTGTACAGGTCTTAGGGCTTCTGGTTGAAGTCATGAAGAAAGGCTTTCATAAACATATTTCTAGCGTATTGCCTGTAGCTAGAAGTGTTTTGCAGTCTGCTGTCAGTTCTGTTGCAAGTGACCAACTGGATCTCCCTGATGAGGCAGCTATTCCTTTCTGGAGAGACGCATATTACTCTCTGGTTATGTTAGAGAAAATTTTACATCAATTTCAGCATTTGACTTTTGAAGCAGAATTTGAGGTATGAACAAGTTCACTATTTTTGTCTGCATGTGCCACCTTTTGTTGTTGTTTGTGACATGTCTTTGTCCAATGCCATAAACATCTATGAGTTGCACCTCACTTTGATGTTTCCATTTTCCAGTCGAGTTTTTGGGGCTTTTCCAGCCACTATAGTTTTGTTTTTGGTTCTTTGAGAATAGGTTTGATTTGATTTGCCTATGATAATTTCTGCCTCCTGCTTGAACATTCTAATACCTCCGTAAAACATAAAAGACAATGCCATTCTGTTTGCTTCTCTTAAAGCGCATGTCCTGACGCTCTATTACCTTTCACCTTTCCTGCTCAGCACAATCTTTTCATGTACAGAACTGCCATTGCATTGGTTAATGTTGGCATTTTTATTCTTGGGCTACAATAAGACAGAAATAGCTAGCTGAATGTGAGAACTGTGGTTCCATTTAGTTACATGAATCACTTATTTATGACTTGTTAACATTGTTGATAGTTTTGAAGCTAGCATGAGTTGTGTTTATATTGCATGTAAGCTGATGGTTTGACACATCCAGCTCTTCTTTTAGACATCAATCCATCTTGATGGTAGCTTGTTAACTTCAGGAATTTTTCTGAATAATATACAGTTGAATGGGTTTGATATTTCCTTTTGTTTATGTTGGATTTTTTTGGGTGACACTGTCCTTGTTTTGTGCAAATAGGCTGGCTATATTTTGAGTTGTGAAAACGAGTATTTCTAGGTCTTCTTTTTGGGTCATTTCTTTACTTTTTGTAGTTTCAGTTTGCGCATGGACATAGTTTAGGATAGGGCAGAGTGACATTATAAGAACCATCTAGCGGAACCCACTTACTGGTAAAAGGTTCAGAACTTGTTGGGTAGTTTTGTGGTCGTGTATTTCCTGTTTTCTTGATGTGCGCGCATGTGTGTTATTATTTTTATTTTTATGGGGGGAGAGGGGGGGGGGGGATGGTGCAGAGAGTCTTACATATTGCAATCTTTCAGGATATCTGGACAGCAGTGTCAGAGTTGCTGCTGCATCCACATATGTGGCTACGCAATATATCCAGTCGTCTTCTAGCATTTTACTATGCAGCAATAACTGATGTATGCAGAGGAAACAATGAGAAGCAATTAGGAGACTTTCTTCTAACGAGAAAAAGCAGACTTTTTCTGATAGCTGTTTCCTTGTGCTGCCAAATGAAGACGCAACCTGTGGATGATGCAGCAGGACACCTCATGATAGAAAATATTGTTTTCTCCATTAGTTGTTTGAATTCTTTGATGGGACATGTTGAGTCTCTAGCTTGCAAGAAGTTTTGGCTTACTCTTGGACAGGATGAGAAAGTTTGCTTTCTCAAAGCGTTCCAGTTACTCGAACCAAGAAATGGAAAAGCCATCTTTGTCTCTCTAACATCTGGTTTAGAAGACCATAACGATGGCCACTCTGGAGATGGTCGATATTTTCTTGTACGCAGTTTGCTTAGAAAGTTGGGGAAGATTGCCCTTCAGATGGACCATGTTCAGGTACTTCTCTTTGACAAAGAATATGTGCAAAGACGCTTTAAAGCTTATCCTATGGGAGGATCTTCTTTGAAAAAATTTTCACCGTAGTGTGGGAGCCTTGCTATCACTTATCTTGTGGTGTTCTGCATGGCCTCAAAGTCCCAGGAGATGCTGCTAGAAGAAGGTGCTTTAAGTGCCTAAAACAGGGGCTAGGATTATCGTGTCAATTTCTTTCTGCTGAAGTAATAGTAAGGAGGGAATGTCAAAACCATGGAGAGATGAAATTTTGAAATTGACAAATATTTCATTCCCAGGTTATATACTTGTCATGGGAATTGTTGCTCCAGATAGCTCTGGAGAGATTTCAAAAAATGCCATTTAATTGAAAGTGGCAAGAAGTGTGATGGCACAAAAAAAGGACAATCATGCTAAAACAAATTACAATTCATTCAAACACCCTCGGGCCTCTTACCCCTCTGTCATTTCTTGTATGATCTTAGTCCCTGTTGTGTTTCTTAATGTTCCTACTCTTTAATAACATTTTGTGTTGCATGCAGTTGAAACTTGTCTTCAGTATATTCCAGAAGTTCTCATCACAAATTGGTGGTGAAGACGCACTGCAGTATGCATATGAGTTGCTACTACCACTCTATAAAGTTTGTGAAGAATTTACTGGGAAAGTCATATCTGGTAAGTATGTTGATTATGTTTTTGAGAAGTTAGGCATTTTGATAAAACAAATTGCAGAAATGGGGCTTGATTTTTTATTTTATTTTTTGGGTCAAAAGGTTAAAAACCTGTGGACTACTAAATCGTTTGGTCCAGGGATGAGAGCTTTTCCTTCCTAGTCCCGGGGGGGGGGGGGGGGGGGTGCGGGGGGCAAAAAAATGCAGAAACTTGTATTAAGCCAGATAAAATCTTAAAGCCACAATCTAATGAGGGCTAACTTCTATGCAAATGTTAAATTAATCTTCACCTCAGTTAGTGTCATTCTTTTTGTTAAGTCTGTGATGTAGAGGTAAGGGGTCTAAGAACCCACTCTATAGAGGTGACAAGACAAGTCGATATGCCAGCAAAGCTAGAGCTTAAAGTTGCAAAATAGGATTTTGGTCAGGTAGTTGTTCATGAGTGGTTGTGAAGCCAAATTAAAATGGATTGAAAGAGGATATAAGTTCTCAAGTTTGTAATATGTTTTTCAGGTGGTATGCTACCTACTGGAAAAATCTGACAAATCTTTCTTTTCTTTTCTGGGACTTGTCTCGCAGAAAACTCGAAACAATTAGCTCAAGAGGTTTCTGAGTCATTACGAAGCAATTTGGGCCTCCAGAATTTCGTGCAAGTTTATGGCCAGATAAGGAAGGATCTTAAGCACAAGAGGGACAAAAGGAAACAGGACGAGAAGCTCATGGCTGTGATCAATCCAGTGCGTAATGCCAAGAGGAAACTGAGGATCTCCGCCAAGCATAGCGCCCACAAGAAAAGGAAAATAATGACCATGAAGATGGCGAGATGGATGCATTAGAAAACAGGAGCATATCATTCATGGACAATGGATGCATCTTCGTGGACAAGAGAGGCGATCTCCCAACTTTAAGAAGCGCCTCTGATATACAGTCTACTTTTGGCTGTCAAATGCTGGAGGAGCAGAACAATGGTTGACATGACGCAATCTCATCTATCGCGCACGAACCAAAGAGTTTCTTAAAAACAGTTCCCGAAGAACGACTTTGCTGTCACCTCTGTCTGTTTGCGAGAAACCCTGGAACCTCCCCCCACCAGCTGTGAAAAGGGAGATTTAGCACCTGTGGAGAAAGTGAGGCTGTGTCGTATTGCATCGAGGAGCTTTCTGCAGTAAGGCTGTGATGCTGCAGTAAGATCGGGTGTTCAAGGACCGTGTGCTGGGGCATCATGGAGAGGTCATTCTAACTTTGCTCGGTAACTTATTTGTTTTGTAGAAAAGTCCTATTTGTGCGAGCCGAAGCTGGCTCCTTAGTTGAGGAGAACAGAACGAGGTCCCTTCTCTCCGGACTAAATTACCGGACTTGGTTAAGTCTTAGTTAGGTGCGGGGTTGAAATTCTTCGCGAGTAAACATCTCTTTTGTGGTGTATAGATATGTATAGCATCTTATATTAATTCATTCTTTTTACAGTGGCATAACTTGATGATGCTCGTTGCAATTGCATGTGCTTGTTGTTGCCTTCTCACTGGTGGAACTACTAGGAAGTAACAGATGCTTTGCTAGTAAAAGCTTCCGTTGCTGCCTTATGATAAAGAGTACAACAGTATTATCTTTAGATGTAATGACAGCTCTCAGTTTGTCTCCTCTATAGCCTTCTTAGTTTAGGACAGCTCCGATTTAAGATTATAAATTGGATTTTGCACTGTGGATTTTCATTGGAATTCATGAAATTGTTGAATTTGACATCCGCTTCAAATCCGTTCTGTCCAAACCTTCTAGATAACGACAGCTCTCGGTACTCAAATTTTGTCAAATCTAGTTGGTCAGCTCCATACTTTTTTGCCAGGGCAATTCCAAGACCTCGAAGGAAAAGTCATGTCCATGGTTTTTCAGGTATAGATGAAAACTCAGAATGTCTTGATTGGTTTGCTCTCAACAATAAGATGGAGTTAGGGTTTTGAGTGCAAGAGATTATTTAAAATCTGGATGGAGGTATTTTTTAAATGAAAATGGCATTTTTGTGAAGAAAAAGATAATGTAATTGATGCCGAGCCATGAAGTGGTATCTAGAGTTAAAACTCGAAGTGAAAGAGAGGGAATTTCGAAAGTAGAGGCATGAAAGTGGTCTTTGGGCGACAAGATATTCTATTCGGTACTTATTTTAGATAATACATCCCTGGTTATTATCTTTGGAAAAATCCTTACAATCATTAGCGTTACTTGCAATATCGCATTCGTTTATATACATAAAAACGTCATGTAAAATTTGATTACATCAAAATAGGCAACACATAACTAACGAGAATAAATTGAAACAACAACGATCTGTCAATTATCATGGTGCATAGTGTGATTCAACTCAATTATGCAAGCAATTTACTTATCCTGTCGTTGTTTTTGCCGAAGTATAATATATTTCGTCGGATAATAAGAGGCAAAAGGACATTATAAGTGCCATAAGTTGTGTACGGAGATCACTTTGGTGTCATAACTTTTTTTCGGATCATTTTGGTGTCAAATCGGAGGAAAAGAGATCACTTTAGTGACTCCAGCCAAAATTCAGGCAAAAAAAAGAGCCACGTCAGATTTCCGGTGAGCCATGTCAGCATCGAAAATTAATAAAAAAAGAGCCATGTCAGATTTCCGGTGGCCATGTCAGCATTGGCACTAAAGTGATCGTTTTTCAAAAAAGTTGGCACCAAAGTGATTCGAAAAAAAGTTATGGCACCAAAGTGATCTCCGTACACAACTTATGGTACTTATAGTGTCCTTTTGCCGATAATAAGGCTTTGATTGTTTATTCAGACAAGTGTACGGTGATGAAAAACTCCTAGATCATGTAAATTGCTGATACATCTATCTTGAAACTGTGACATGTTGTTATCATGTAGTAATTTGTTTTCCTATTTTGCTTCGTAAAATGATAACTAGCTTAGGAAAACTCCTTTTCGAAGTATTAATCACCATAATTTAATTTTGTTGTTTGGCTGATAAATGCAAAAAAAGGACATTATATTTCATGTTTTATAGCATATCATATCACTAAAATAAAAATTCCCAATAAGGCGATTTCCAAATTTGTGCAATCACGGGTCTTCGATTATTATTTTTACCTACACTTCTTGCAAAAGTATTTATACGCGGTTAGTTAGTCTCTTATTCATTTTATCAGTAAATTACAGAGAAATAATTGCAGTAAAGGCAAAAATAGCAATTAGGTTACTCGATTTATTGAAAAGAATAATGTGAAGTGCAAATTTTTTTTTCTCAAGTGACAATTTACTGAAAAAAAGCAAATAAAATTGAAAAGAAAAAGGAAAATTGCAATCTATTCATTTTAGGGTCAATACCACGAAAAATCTCAAACTGGTACACCTGTGATAAATTTACCAAAAACTAATTTTTTGACTGTAAAAAATCCCAAACTGGTACACCTGTGATAAATTTACCCAAATTAATTTTTTGACTATCAAAAACCTAAAACTGGTACATTTATGACAATTTTCTTCAATTAAATTGAATTAATACAAAAAAAATCACGAACTAGCATACTTGGGACAAACGGAGGGTAAAATCCCAAAACTGGTGCATTTGTCAATTGCCATGTGTCATTTAACTAAGCAATTTGATAATAAAATTTAACAAAAATTAGCATAAGATAAATTTATGATATATGTATCAATTTAAAAGGCTCACCAGTTTGAGATTTTTCACGGTAATCCTTTAGTTTAAATGCATGAAGTCTTCTTCAGGGTGGAACGACCGCCAGAGCGAGAGAGAGAGAGAATACCGTGGCTGGCTGCTTCAGAGAGGGAAAGAGAGAGAAGCGAGGGAAAGAGGGAACTGCGACGACGGAATCGCATGCTCGTCGGAGAAAGTGGTGGCGCGCCGGAAAGAAGCCAATCTCCGACCGCTCGGGGTGAGATGTTTCCGCCTGAACTTTTCGTAGAGTTTGAGGTTTTTGTGCTTAGAAATTTTCATTCTTTTCGGACCTTTCTGTGGTTTCTCTTCGCCGGCGGCGCTCCGGTTATGTCCCCTAGCTGACCCACATACATATTTAGGTTACCCACGTTTCCGCGAGCCCGCAGTATTCGACGGGGACTCGATTCCTGAGTTTCTGTCTGAGAAAGCTGAGATTTTGAAGTCAGATTGGTCGGGTATTGTGTGAAAATTTCATTTTTTTCGGACCCGTTCTGCTTTCTCATGAGCTTGCTTTTTGGTTCTTGCTTTCTGGGTGTGTTTGTAGTTAGATGGAGGAGTCCGAAAAGAGGAAGGAAAGATTGAGAGCGATGCGCATGGAAGCTGCTCGAGCTGGTTTTTCGGACAGCCCTGAGGCTCCTACCGAGGCGAGCTGCCTCGCGAATCCGTTGATCGAGACCCGCGCACCTCAATCGCAGCACGAACCGTCGCGTGCATCGCCCAGGTTCGATTACTACACGGATCCCATGTCCGCTTTCTCCGGCAATAGGGCGAGGGATAATGCAGGCGTCCCATCTCCACAAGTGAATTTCACCACCCCTCCTCCGCCTCATCTTTCAGGTATTTCAGCCTGACATGTTGACTCTGCCTAATTCTTGTTTCACCGACTCTTTTGAAGATTGCAATTTGTTGAATTCAAATGGGGTTTGTGCTTAAATATACTTGTCTATGTTATCTCGTGGACGAGACACTATCTTAGTGCGCGATGGCGCTGTTGATTTTAGTGGTGATGATTGATGAGAGAGTGCTGAAAGTATTTGAGCCACCCATTGAACCTTGCAAATGATATAGCTGGTTTATCAAACAAAACCTCGGGAAGCAATGTATTGACTCGAGCTGTTCGAGTTCATTCTGTTTTTTGATTATGCCTAGTTGAGGAACAAGGTACATGATGCACCATTCACGAATTCGGGTGAGCTGATTTAGGAAAGTATTGCATATGGTTGTGTTTGATAGAAGTGATAGGAGTCGCATGGAAAGCAAGATGCTATTGGTTGAGTCCTCCGATTCTGGTTTATGTCTTCTATGGAGATGATAAGTAACCTTAGACTGTATTATCAAACTGTTTGGCCTGCATCCAGATATCTTGGTTTCCGTTTGAGCCTTAAAAGTCACTTAAGGAGTAGCGTATTGATTTGCGCCTAAAAAACTCTTCTTTTTTTTCTGGTGTAAAACTTTGATTTTCAGGACCCAGGAACCTTGTAACAAGTCCCTCTCCTGCCCATCAGTGGCGTCCCATTTATCCACCCAACAGTGGAATCTACCAAACAGAAAGTCCTCACCCCAGATTCCCTCCCCACCAAAGTCCGAGGGGAAACATCCACCCTTTTCCAATGCAAGATGGGGCTTCTCCTCAAGCTTGGAATAGATCCAGCAGCACGGCAAGTTATTTTAGCCCACCCAGTACTCCAGGAAGTGGTACCCATAATTTCAATCAGACACAAGATCGCTCTCACTGGCGTGGCAACAATCCAGGGCCAGGTTTAGGATGGGGAGGTAATTATGCTGGTAATTATGCTACAAGTCCTGGCAGAGGCAGAGGCAGAGGCCAATGGTTCGGTGGCAGTCCCAGGTCAGGGAGGAGTGGTGTGCGAGGTCCAGGACATCGTGGTCATGGTTATACACCGGCAAGGCCACTAGGCCTAGAGCGTTTCTTTCATGAGTCCATGTTAGGAGACCCATGGAAGGATTTAAAACCTGTTTTGTGGAAGGGCGTTGGTTCTCCTTTCATCAGTTCCAGTTCACTCGGATCTTCGAGTTCCTGGATGCCCGAGTCCATTAGGCCAAAGAAGCCGAGAGTTGCAGAATCTCCCAAAAAGTTTGGTTCTGGACAAAACCTTGCTGAATTTCTTGCTGCCTCATTTAATGAAACGGTTAAGGACACGCCCAGCCCATGATGTTGCTATTGTAAGTTCTAGAGTTTCACCTTCTTGTGCTTCACAGAGAGAGAGAGAGAGAGAGAGAGAGAGAGAGAGAGAGAGAGAGGGGCTTGGGGCCACTAAGGGCATTTGTTCTGTGGCTGGACGGTTAAAAGGAGATGCATGAATCCTTCCTATTTACGTCTGGAGTTTTTCTTTCTGACGATTGTATTATTCATTAGTGAAAAGTTATGTGAGTTATCAGTTGCTAGAGAATTGTTTAGTTCGTGAAGGGTTTTGTAGTATTTGAGAATATCTTACAATGTAAAAATCACCATCTGCATTCCTTAGATGCTATGTCAAGCTGTTCAGTATTTCATTGCCATGTTGTGCAAATGATTGCTAGAGGAGTTCTACAATATATGACTATGAGGGACACGTGGTTAACTCCTTTTAAAGTCCATGACAGAACGAACAGTTCTTCGAAAATCAAGTGTTTGTATTGTCTTTCTCTCGACTAAAATAAATAAACCAATCAGCATAATAGTTTTAGACAAACTTGTTGGATAGATGGTCATCATACTTGTGGTAATCCTGCTCGGAACAAAAAGAGTGCTAATACGTATTATTACCTCTGCTGAGTTTTTTCTAAGAAAAATTAAGTTGTATAAACAATAATATTTAATAAACATGTAAAAAGTAGCAAATAATAGATAAGTAAAGAATTCATATTGTTATCATATTTGTCTGAACGTGCTTATTGTCTTCATTAGTGACGCGAGGGATACTCTTGTGAATGAAAACATTCAGATACATAAAACATTTTTTGAAAAAGTTCGAGACATCATTTGTTTAAAATTAATGGTCCACATAACAAATGTTGCTGATAAACTAGTTTTCCATCATAACAATCGCTGCCTTGTTGCAGTATTAGTTTGGAGATACATAGATTACTTGATAAACATATTAACAAATATGTTTTCCGTAAAGCTCACTTCGTTACTTTCGTGTCCAGAAATTAACAGCACATGCACATTAAATATATTTTCACAAAGACGATTAACGTGCATCCATCCATGTAAACAATTTTGTGTTGAGGTCGAGTTGTATTCTTATATAATGCATTGTGATCGTATCTGGTCGTGTTAATGAATGTTAAGTGCATATAAATAAGTAATTTAAGAACAAATGCACAAAATGAGGCAAAAATGCATATTAAACATAAAAAAAGAAAAAAAAATTGACAGTTGAAGTGGAAGAGAGAGTAGGTAATGGTGAGAGTAACACTGATTTAATCCCTCATGTTTGGTCAGTTTTGCATAACCTACCATTTTCAAGAAATAAGATGTTTATCTACTTTTTCTGTGATGCTTGTGCTAATACACAGCAGAACCAAGTATCGATACAGTGAGTCACTAGTAAAGTAATCCGTCTAGTCAACTCACCAAAACTTCTTACTCGAAAAGCAACATCACATTTGACTCCCCGTACACGAGGATCTACTCTAAGTTACATCATGAAACTTAAAATCCTAACTCTGCAACCTTTACTCACAAATGCATTCCACACCAACTTATTGAAGATTGTCTCACCTTTACAGTACTGAACAGCCCAGTAAACTTAAAAGTTCTAACCTCCTGCAATCATGCACGCTAGGGGCAGTTTCTTTCAGACTTCCACGGCAAAAGGGCACTCAAAGCATGAGTGATCTCTACTGTAAATCCCTATATCAGGCAACGAGAGACTACTAGAAAGATGAGAAGTCATAATATTTTCTTTGGTAAGCCTGTAAAGCATTCCAAGCCAAGTGATCCAATAAAGCTTGGATAACAGGTGTAAACCCAGTCAATTACACCAGGGCACTTTCCTTCCTTTACTCCTCAACTGATTCCAGGCACTTGGAACTGAAAAGCTGACCATTAGTAGTCGTCTGCCATGCTATTTGATCACACTAATATGTGCACCAACTCCATAGCATGGTTAAGTCAAAACAAGTCATTAACCAAGAGAATGTTAACCCAAGATTCTGTAAGAAGCTTCTTTCATACAGGACTAATGACCTATCTCTACTATTCAAATAACAATAAAATAAAACCCGTTTGTCCCAATTAGTCACCATATCAGCTTGGTACCTAATCCGGTTTAAAAGGTGCAGGAGCAGAACCCATGTCGGAAAACTGGATTTTGCTTGCCACAGACTTCATAGGCCAATGAATGGATTAGTTGGCCCCGCTAAGCTGTTTGGTTTGTCAATTAAAGTGTCTACGAAAATGCTAACTACCTTTTAGGCTGAACCAATTTGAAAATTTAGCTCTAAAGTTGTTGGCTATATGCCAACCATTTGATTACTCTAGCAGAAGTAATGACTTTGCATTTGCCTTTTATAAACAAAACTTGGTGATTCTCGTATTTCACAGATTGACAAGGTGCTGCAGGGGAGGGACATTGTGCAAATTGAAGAAACAACTTCTTTAGTGGGCAGCAGAGGTGAGAAAGGCTCTCCATTATCCTTTTGATCCATCTCAGTTAAACCTTGTCGCTTTGCAAGCTGGTTATATGAAAGCTAGATGATATACTCCATGTTGTAATAAAGTTGAGTCGTGGCGCAATTGTACATCTTCATGTCTTCACATGCACCTTCCAAAACCCATTTGATAGTGATGTGTTTCCCTGTTTTAGCTTCCCAGACACCAAAAACAGAGGATCTGCTGAAGAATCCGAAACTGTACAGATATAGTTGATTGCGGATTAAGATCAATTATTCTGAGTCGCTTTTCTGACCTTGATGCTATGAAAGTGGAGGACTTGTCACCCTATTCCGCCTCTGCGAATGAACAGTGCCACAGCCAGCAGCTTAGAAAGTTTTTCAGTATGGAAACTTCATAAAGCTATGATCCCCACGGTTGGAGGAAGTGCTTCAAACTGTATCCTACAGGCTGAAATGGACAAAAAAGAAACAAATTGGCCAATACATCAAAATCAAATCAATTACCTCTCACCCGATAATCTCAACTCCTTAACATACTTAAACCAATGAGCACTCACCTTTCATGCTTTAAAGAAAAAGCTTCTGCAATTTACGAAGTTCCTTTTATAAGCTCTCGCCCAAGATGGAGAAATCAAATTTCAATGATTCACACCTCCATAAAAAGTTCTGATCGATCAAACACCGAGAGAACATTATATGCTGCAGAATGTCCTTAGCAGTTACCACAGGCTGTTTCTTGTTGTCTGAATAGGTCGATCATACAATTCCAAAATCAGACAAGTCAGATTGATCTACACTCTGTTCGCCTTTCCCAATCCAAAAGTTTAAAGGAGTTGAACTCTGTGGATCTCTTAATGGATAAAACAGTAAAACCAGTATGTAGAAGTGACACTACATCCTAGTGGGAGTCAATCAGACTAAAGGCTGGAACTTTCCGAATTTTGAGCCTTTCCATTGCTTTCCTCAGTTCAGCGGCAGAAGTCCATTTGTTCAACTCCGCGTGTATATTCGATAACATAACATATCGTCCACAGTGCCGTGGCTGCATCTCAAGCAATCTTCTCCCTACATCATTTCCAAGATCGATAGCTCCGTGAATTTTACAGGCACCCAACAGAGCCCCCAAAACAGAATCATCAGGCTCGAAAGGCATACTCTTTACAAAGTCCATCGCTTCCCTCAAAAGTCCTGCTCTGCCCAACAGATCAACCATACATCCATAGTGCTCCATTGCAGGTACCAGCCCAAAGTCATCAACCATAGATTGAAACAATTTGAAACCAGAGTCCACAAATCCTCCACGTGCACAACTCGTTAGAGCAGCAGCAAAAGTTACCCCATTAGGGCACAAACCTTCCATCTTCATCTGCTCAAACATAGCAAGAGCTTTTTTCTCTTCACCATTACAAGCAAGGGAGGAGATCAGTGCATTCCACGTGCAAATCTCCTTGACAACCATTTGATTGAAAACTTTTATAGCATTTCTGAGAGAACTTGTCTTGCCATAGAAATCGATCAATGCCGTCCCTACAAAAGCTGCCGGTCCAATCTCATTCTTGACAATATATCCATGTATTTGCTTCCCGTAGTAACGTGCACCTCCTCCAGGCAAATTAGCACATGAAGAGAGAAGGCTAACATACGTAGCTTCATTTGGTTTCACCACACCACTCTTTACATCCTCATGAACCATCATGTTTCGAAAAAACTTGAGGGCGTCTCTGAAACGCCCATTATTACCAAGCCCATTAATCACACTAGTCCAAGACACCACGTCACGCTCCGGCATTCTAGAAAAGAGCCCCACAGCAGAGTCTATCCCCCCACTCTTGCCGAACGCGTCAAGCATCGCATTGCACGCCACAACACACGGCTTGGGAATTTCCTCAAACACCCGACGCGCGCTGGGCAGCTCGCCAATTCGCCCGTAGAAATGAATGAAGGACACCCGGACAAACGGGTCGCCGGACACGCCTCGCCTGACCACCTGGGCATGAAGGGCCGCGCCTAACGAAGCCGCCGACGAGACCGCAGCTTTCGCGAGGGAAGCGAAGGTGAGATCATTGGGTGGCGCTTGGTGGGCGAGCATGTGAGCGAAGAGGAGGAGGCACTTGCGAGCTTGGCCGAAGCTGGAGTAGCCCCTTATGAGCGCATTGAACAGGAGGGTGCGCGTCCATCGGTTGGGTGGGAAGAGGAGATGGCCGTTGGTGATGAGGAGGGCATGTACTTGCTGGACTTGGATTGGCCGTGCGGTGCGACATTGGAGGAGTCGAAGTAGATGCTCGCTCCCCTGTTTTGCATGCATAAGGGAAGATAGAAGGAAAAACCGAAGCTTTGGTAAGAACAGAGAAGACAGAACAGAACAGAGGATTGCTATCCAGTTCCCATCGTCCAGAAAGTATTATATTTTGGGTTAATACTACGAAAAACTCAAACCGATACACATGTAATAATTTTACTTCGAATTAATTTTTTAATTATCAAAAATTCCGAACTGGTATACCTATGATAAATTTACCCCGAATTATTCTTTTGACCACCAAAAACCCTACACTGGTATATTTATGACAATTTTACCCCGAACTAATTTTTTGACCACCAAAAATCCTAAATTGATACATCCGTGATAATTTTATCCAAAACTAATTTTTTGACCACTAACAATCCCAAACCGGTATATTTGTGATAAATTTACCTTCCGTTAGTGTCCGTTAAATTAGCTTAATATCATGAAAAATCACAAATTGGTAAACTTGTGACAAATAGAGGGGTAAAATCCCAAACTAGTATACCCGTCAACTACCACGTGTCATCAAACTTAGCAATTTGACAATAAAATTTAACGGAAACTAACGAAGAGTAAATTTGTCACAGGTATACCGGTTTAGGGTTTTTGGTGGTCAAAAAATTAGTTCCAGGTAAAATTGTCACAAGTATACTAGTGTGGGGTTTTTTGTGCTAAAAAAAATAGCTTAGAGTAAAATTGTCACAGGTGTACCAGTTTGGAATTTTTGTGGTAAAAAAAATAGTTTGTGGTAAATTTATCACATGTGTACCAGTTTGGGGGGTTTTTCGTGGTATTAACCCTTATATCTTTATGGATGCAATGTCCGAGGCAAACAATGCAATCAGTCCTAATTTTTTGGGTTATTACGACGAAAAACCTCAAATTGGTACACATGTGATTGATTTATCCTCGTCAGTTTCCGTTAAATTTTACTGTCAAATTATTTAGTTAAATGACACATGGCAATTGACGAATGAACTAGTTTGGGGTTGTACCCTCCATTTGTTCTAGATGTACTAGTTTGTGATTTTTTTTTTGTATTAATTCAATTTAATGTACGGTAAATTTATCACAATTGTACCAGTTTGGGATTTTTGATGATCAAATAATTAATTTAGTGTAAATTTATCACAAGTGTACCGTATTAACCATAATTTTTTCCTATGTGTTCAATCTGATGTCATAATTTTTCAAGCTTGCCATAAATAGTCACTTGCCGGCGGATTTGTAGAAATTCGACCTGACATTAATTTAATATAAAATCCTCCGAGGCGCTTTGTCAGGAAAATAATGTCATTAAAAGCGTGAGTGATCATGATATTCAACCTCTGAGTTCAGCTTCGCCTGCATCAGCCCCTTCAATTTGGGGGTAAGGAAAGGGCTCAAACATTGTGGATTCCACGTGATCTTAATGACATCATTTCCCGGCGAGCCACTAGAGCGATTTAATATCAAATAAATGCTATGTAAGATTTTTGGAAAAAAGTGTCAGAAAAGTCATAAACATATCATATTGGTGCCGATTTAGTCATAAACTATTTGATCTAGTGCAAAGTTAGTTCTTCCGACTAATTTTGGCGAGATATTGCTAACGTAGATGTCGGCCGGCCTACGTGGCACCGTCGGCGCTGACGTAGATAATTTTCAATAATATTTTAATATTTTTTTTGATTTTTTAATTATTTTTTTCTGATTTTTTCTGATTTTTTGCTTTATTTTCTTTTTTTCCTTTCTCCTTCCTTTTGCCAGAGAATGCCCACTGGCCATAGGCAATAGCCGAGCGGGCTGGCCTCGCCTAGGTGAAAGTCGCCTTCGCTCGCTATAGACAAGGCCTAGCGAGAGCTCCCCTCGTCAGATTTGGTGAGACCGACACTCGCCTGTGGCAGGCGACGGCGACCCTTGCCCAGGTGAAATTAGCCCGCCCGGCCATGGCCAGTCATCGGCAAAAGGAAGAAGAAAGGAAAAAAGAAAAGAAAGAAAAAAAGGAAAAAAGAATAAAAAAATGTTATTAAAAATCGTCCACATCAGTACCGACAGTGCCACGAAAGTTGGCCAACGTTCACCTTGGCAATATCCGGCTAAAATTAATAAGAAGGACTGAATTGACACTAGACCAAATTGGCACCAATGTAATAGGTTAAAACTTTTCTGACACTTTTCCCTAAGATTTTTAGGTAAGGAAAATCGCCGACATCACTCAAGTGATGCATTTCAAAAGTTTCAGTACTTAAATGATCATTTGAAAAGTAATGTCGGTAGAGTGAGCTTCTACAGTGAGTATGGCACAATCAGTTTCGTCTTTCCCACTACGTGCCAATGATTTCGTAACGAGAATTTTCGAAAACTTGAAAAGTCTCGGACTCTCGTGATAAAAAAAAACTAGATACATAATTATTATAGTGAAATTTGCTCTTTTACATTACATATAAAATACAGTATCGATGGGTTAAAAGATGGTCGATAGTTAAGCTACTCTTTTGTTTTTTTTGGTAGGAGATAGTTAAGCTACTTCATCAATCGAGTATCCAAACACATGAAGAGCAAAAATCCAATTAACTAAACCGACAATGGAGTCTTTGGTTTTTTTGTTTTATGTGGACTGCAAACTTCAGGAGAAAATTCCAACAATGTCCCTAAAATGGCCTCCGTTTCCCATGAACTTGATCACTTTGACTCAAAAACTCCTAAAGTGGCTCCCGTTTCTCGAAATTCTTCCTAGGGGTGAGCAACTTGGACCGCCTAAATCGGGACCGGACCGGACCGGACCGGACTGGACCGACGGGTTTGGTCCGGTTCTCGGGACCGACGGTCCGGTCCGGTTCTCGGTCCTAGAACCAACCGGTCCGGTCCTAGAACCAACCGGTCCGGTCCTAGAACCAACTGGTCCGGTCCGCGGTTCCCAAAATTGAGAACCGGTTAAATGCCTCGGCTTTGCAAGAAAATTTGTAGATCATGAAGAAAGGAGCATGGATCGAAGAATTGGAGGGGGAAGGATTAGTGTAGATGTGAGAGGAGAGATGTAACGAGAATGTCGTAAACTGAACCTAATCTAATTAAACGCTTTCTTTTTTTTACGAGAAGCACGGGGTAAGGTCAATTGATGGTATTTGAATTTCAATTTAGAGTTTAGGATTGCAGTGGTTTTTGGATCAAAATGCTCCTGGAAAAGGTCGCAAAACACGCAGGAGACGAGCACATCTTCGTCGCCCCCGCCATTGTTTTCAATGATGATAAATTTTGAGGTTATTAGGGGGGGGAAATTACCAAAACGGTCATACACCTATTGCATTTGTGCCAATTCAGTCCTAAACTTTTTAATTTACCTAATTTAGTCATAAACCTTTTGACAATTACCAAAACGGTCATACACCTATTGCATTTGTGCCAATTCAGTCCTAAACTTTTTAATTTACCTAATTTAGTCATAAACCTTTTGACAACTTGGCAATGTAGTTCATCCGATCAATTTTGACTGGAAATTTTTGATGTGGATGCCAACCGTCCTATGAGGCATGGCGGGACTGACGTGGACAATTTTTAATTTTTTTATGTATTTGTTTATTGTTTCTTTCTTTTACCTTTTCTTTTTTTTATTTCTTTTCTTTTCCTTCTTTTTCTTTTTTTATTTCACTGTGGTCGGGGAGGATCGCTGGAGCTCGCCGGCCATTCCCTTGTTGGCCACCATAAAAAAAAAAGAAAAGAAAAGAAAAGAAAAGAAAAGAAAAGATAAGAGAAGAAAAGAAAAAAATAGAAATTCGGAAAAAAATTTAAAAATGTTAACGTCAGCACCGACCGCCGTTCCACATATGCCACAATTTAGACTCTCGAACCGATGCTTTCGACGTCTCCGCAGCGAATTCCGTCACTGTCTCACCTTGAAGCTCATACAGGCCATGTCACATCCCGATTTTTGGGCCTGGGAAGCCGCAGGCAAATTGTAGTATCCTCAATTTCAGTCCCTGGGAAAATGGCTATGGTTTAAGTTTGGTGGTTTTCCAATTGGAACTAATTTGTACTCTTGTTTTGGAAAACCCAGTTTCGGATCCTTTGTACCTCTTCATTTTGTTATTTTTGGGGAGACTTTTGTGGTCCGAATTTCCAAACACTTTCTTCTTGAAAGTTGTTCAAAACATCTTGAAGTTTTACATACTTTAATTTCAGAATTTTTGGATTTGATATGGATGGTACGATGGCCTGATTTTCGGACCGTGTAAAACTGTCCAGAATGGGTATTTCGGTGATGTTCACCCATTCTATATTTTCTACAAGAATTTATGGGTCGATTTTGGAAAAGTTTCCTTCACAAAAGTTGTTGAGAACTTCCTTTTCTATAACGTGTATAAATTTGGGAATTTTCCGAGATGATTTGGATTCTGGACAGAGCTTAATTTGAGAAACAAGAATGCTGTTCCAGCGAACTGTTTTTAGTCTATCTTTGAGCTACTAAAAATGGTGTTTACAGAGAGATTCAGATTTCGTGTTCTCATGTAAAATGTTTGTTAAGGACTTGTTTACCACATATTCAAATTTGAGAATTTTCGGAGTTCATTTACTATATTTTCAAGTCCGATTTCGTGAACAGTGCAAAACTGTCCGATTTTATCAGATTTCAAAGATTTATCAGTTTCTATATGAGAACGTTGGAATCTCGACTTGATGTCTTTTGGTGATATTTAAGGACATATCCGCGCCAAACCTCGGGTTGGATGGAATTATTATGCATGTTTATCGCGAAAAACCTAAAAAAAATCTTGTGATTAAGTATGGCACGGGTTGTGATTTTTGTGCCAATTGGTATATTTCGTGTGACCCGATTGGCCCGAGTCATTTGCGTGAGAAACCAGCAAAGTCAGAAGGTTCTAGGGAGTACACGGTTTGGGAAATTTGTAGAGGAATCTAGAGGATAAGGCATTGACCGAGTCAAAGCTTATCCTCCAAGCTTTATTAATTGGCTATTATTGTTCTTGACTTTGGAGGCCACCCTCATAATGGCTTGTATTAATTGCTTGGACTTTGGTGGTCCTTCATGATGTCATGCATTAATGAATCAAGACTTTAGGGCCCTTCATCATGACCAGCATTAAATGTCTTGAGTGGTGACCAAATAAGGCTTCTATGTATAAATAGGAAGAGA